TACATCAATTTCATCATCACTACCACTGTCTCCACTCAAACAGTCAGGAACACCCTCAAGGAAGCCAATCTTAAAGCTGTAGTCAAGAAGAAGAAACCCCTACTGTCACCAGCCCATAGGAAAAGGAGACTAGCATTTGCTTTAAAGCACCAGCACTGGACTATAGAGGACTGGAAGAGAGTTATTTGGTCAGATGAAACTAAAATCAATAGGATGGGGTCAGATCGTCAAGAGTATGTTTGGAAAAAGGCAGGAGATCCACTTGGAGAAAAAGAAGTGAAAGGTACTCTTAAGTTTGGAGGAGGAAATATGATGGTGTGGGGCTGCATGGGGTGGCATGGGGTGGGAATTCTATGTGAGGTGGAGGGGAGGATGAATGCAGAGCAGTATGTCTCCATTCTGGAGGAGTGTCTGCTCAAAAGCATGCAAGAATCAGGTATTGATGAAGAAGACATTATCTTCCAACAAGATAATGACCCCAAGCATACCTCAAAGTTGGCCACCAAATGGTTTGAGGACCATGATATTACTGTCCTATCATGGCCAGCACAGTCTCCAGACCTCAATCCCATTGAACATCTTTGGGAATTACTCAAGAGAATGCTTGCTGCCTATCAAGACCCACCTAATGGACTATTTCAGTTATGGGAGAGAGTTGTAGTAGAGTGGGGAAAGATTGCTAAGGAGGAGTGTCAGAAATTGATAGAAAGTATGCCTAGGAGGGTAGCAGCAGTCATGAAAGCTAAGGGAGGAAACACTAAGTACTAGAATTATAGAGATTATGTATAATTGATTCAAACTCAAAAAAGTGTCCCAATGAGTCACCTAATCAAAATAGCCATATCTTCGCACAGCGTCAATGGATTCTCACGCTATAGGGGACATAATTGTAGCCGAGAAGCGGAGCTTTTTGGGACCTCCCTTTGACTTAGTCAGATTCTCACACCCTGGCTCGCAATAACACAATTACATGAAAACCTACAAACATTGGGACACTTTTTTGAGCCACTGTACATAGTGAGATATTTTATGTGAAAAACCAGACCACAGGTCAACAGAATATCATGGGTGATGTGTGATATCAGTATTTTAACCATTGCAGACTGAGATAGACATGAAAGTAATTGAAGACGAGGAATTCCCATCCATCATCAGCACACCTGCAGGTGTTGCCTCCATGTGCCATGCTACGTTGTCACCAAACATGCTCGTGTTGAACTGCCTTTTGGGTCAATGACCCACATTAAATGCAGTTGAAATGTTCATATGGAGGCATATAAATTTGAACATCCTAAGATTGCCAGTCAAGTTCAAGTTGAAAATCTAGTATAAGTGGCAGCAATGCTCAACGTGGGAAGTCGGTGAAGTACAAATTCGATGAAGTACTTTATGTTTGTACAAGAGCTGTGAATAACAAGGCTGTGCGAATATTGTATACACTACCCCACTTCTTTAATATACTATGCCAGCAACACCTATCCCTATGTAGTATTATAAAGTAATAAAATGTGTTTGGCTATAGTGCCTGCTTTCTGCGCTTAGCTTGTGAATTTTGGCCGCTCCCCTCAGCACTTCCAGAAATTTCACCCACAGAATGCTTGCCTTTGATGGGGGGTGAAGTACCTTGTACTAAGCTGCAGAGATGTTTGACCCACCAGTCTTTCATGGTCAGCACGGGATGATATTGTCGGCAGGAGCATGAGTAAAAACTCCCTCACATCGGTCGCTCACGAGCAGTCAATGGTCCTCAGAGACTTGGAGTTTAAATTGTTGGCACTTTAGCCACTTTATTATTTGCGCGTCATACACAATCGAGAGCTAGAGAGCTAGAAAGTGCATTTTTGTCCTCCACATTTGCAAGGATGAGCCTGGAGGTAGATTCATGTCAAACCTCAAAGGACAATAAATGTGAAAAAAAGCCATGTGGCAGATCTAGAAGCCGTACATCATACTACTAACAACTATAGCTGCTAATCTATATGTTATGACCAACCTAAATCACAAGTTTTCACACTGCCCATGTCCACATCTGCCACTTTACATGCTCTCAACCATCATGGACTTTACAGATATACTTTTATGGTACATGGTAACATCAAAATGGAAGTTCAAGAACCCACCTTTCACGCCCGATGCTCAGATGTCAGCTCTGATCTGAGTCATGGCGTGAAAATGTAGGCATTAAAGTGTGTCCTCAAACTGAACACATCAAAACTGCTACCAGTAAGGAGATGGCATAAGAATCATATATGATGCAATCATCAGAGATCTGGCAGTATAGTATAGTCTATTGTAATACTAGGACCACGAAACTGTTGAATTTCAGTCATATTCAGGTGAACATTGACAAACTTCACAAACTTTCTCCCATGAAACATGGTCAATGATTGGAGGAGCACTGCATAAAATCCTTGAAAGCTTAAGGTGTTGACCATCAGCATCATGCATTAACTCATGCTGACTTTGAAATAATATCCTGATAAGTTAGTTCTAGATTATTCGAGTCATGTGCATGATGGCATAATCTCTGTGCCAGCTTGGTTCCTCCAACAAGTTTGTCCGTCCACAATCATAGTCCTGTGTTGTTGTATTACCTTTAATTCAGCCATCTGATGTTGGCTTTCAGATGCAGTATCAAGTGTTGTCTCACCACATTAAGCCTCGACCTCACCTTGCCAAGTTCAATCTACCCTCTATATTCTCTACCACCATGTTAAGCCTTAACCATGGCAATTTTTTTGTATCCTTGCTTATTGTCTGTTAGGCTGAGCGCTATGTTGGACATTATCTGCATGTATGTAGTTCTATTGTTTACAATCTTTTTAAGTCTTAATATTGTATCTTTGACAATGGGTCCAGCGTGAGTGAGAACGATGGAGCCTTCTAGAGGCAATAGGGAAGAGGTGGTATGGAGTGGCTTTGGTGGAGTTCTTGGTCTTTCTTCAGTGATGCTCTCATCTGCTCTTCTTCTTCTTCTAAGAGGGGGGGGGGGGGTCACATCACTGAAGGTGCATTTGAAACACTTTGTGCATGCTATGTATTTCTTTAAGTATGGCATGTCGGGCTAGGCCAAGAATCGCTCATACCAAACAACTTTATAAGCTCTCAACTCATATCAACAATTACACCTACCTATACCGCATCAACCATAGCACATGCTGTGTCAAACCTCATCACTTCTACTGTCACACCTATGCCTCGTCAGTGCATCAAACACAGGGCACCCTGTGCAACACTTCAACTGTTCATGTAACTTAGGTATATCTTAGATCTTTCATAATGTATGCCAAAATTGCATGCTGGTTCTGTGAGAATGTTCCTGGTGCTTCTGGTTAGGTTGAAATATGGCTTGGTGGCATGCCTTTGGTGCACACTTTCACTCTCATTGCTTATCGAAACATCAGTGATTAATTTCAAAAATGCACCAAAGCTCGAAACAAGGAATGGAACAACAGCATGCCGTTGATGATGGCTTGGGCTGATCTCATGAAAAGCTATCCTAGCAACAGCTTTGTGGCTGATATGGTGATTGAGTGCAAGTGTCTGACCACACTAGAAGCAAGTATTCTCAAGGATTTGCTAGGAGACCATGTCAGTAATGAGAGTGGTACATATGGGAACGGTATGAAGTTGAAGGAAATCCATTAATGAGAGGAAAACAATGATAACAGGTCCAAAATCCTTCAAGTTCCTTGGGGTTTCAAAAGTGGAGGCACCCCTTACAGGCAACAACCTAACTGTTTCCATACCGGGAATAGATACACCTCAAACCCACCCCCCATGTCAATATGATAGCACCTCTCACAAACCACAACAAGCACCAAGGGACCACCATACCCCCCACCCCATACACAGAAACAGGCCATCCACCTGCACTGGAGACGAACCACTCCAAATAGGGTCAGCCATTGAACCAAATGCCCACCGGCAGGCTGGCAGTGGCAGTGGCACAGCGGCAGCAGAAGCATAGACAAGGACCAGAAAACTAGGCCGACATTACAATAGCCACACTAAATATGAAAGGCTGATTATCTCATGGTTGCATCATCACAGCCACCTGCTACAATGTGGCAAGGACCTTCAAATGCCTCTTCCATGCAGTCTACCAATAATCACTTATCTCATGCAGCCATGCACCATAGTCAATGAAGTATCACTTCTGGACCATTTGGTCATTCTTTAGCCAGCCCCCGTGGGTCAAATGGTAGTTCAAGCAAGTGCTCTGTTAGGTCTAGTACACCAGCACCCGATACGCCGCCAGTGACCTTTAGACTTAACCTTATTCCGTATTCTGTGAGGTTTCCTGCGAGAATATTGTATTATGAAGCTAAATTTGGTTCAGGTGACAGGAACCTCATCAGACAAGGCTGATCCCTTTCAGGGACAGTTGAAGCTTTATGCAGCAAAGCTTCTGCCACTACAATGTCGCTTGCAGAAATACAACCTGTCTTTTCTTGCCATAGTACATTTAACCACTGCCAACGAACCTGTATGGTAACAGATTAGTTCTCAAATGACTTCACACCTAGTCTCCTATGACTTAACCCTTGCATTTCCACAAGAAGAACTCTGTTCTGAATATGACTTTTGTTTTGAAGGTTATCAGTTCTTGCAAGCCAGTTATCAAAAGAATGGAAGTTGGAAGATGAGTGCTTGTGACCTTCCTGGGCACCTCATTACAGTCGAGCACCTCAGAGAACGTGTGAAGTTTATACCAAACCCTAGTTCTTCTGAGAACTTCCCAGTTTTCTGGTGTAGTATGTTTCTTGCTAACTTTAATGTTTGGTGATATATTACAGCTCTTTTCATCAAGGATGACAGTGGCATGATTTTTTCATTCAAGTAGGAAATGGTAGACTTAGATAAATTTTGCTTGTGTAGCCCTACAGTACTACCATTATTATCATCTCTGCAATATGCAATTCCGCAAAATCAGCCACAATGTGAAACTTGCAGCAATCCGACTCCATGAATGAGACCCTCTAAACCTCTGCAATATCCTAGATTCCTGTGGATTTTCCGAGTGCACCTGGTTTTGGATTTTGAGGCTCTGGCGCAAAACCAGCGATGTTGTGGCTTGCAGGTTTCTTCATCTCAGCTGCAGAGGTGATGCTCATGATAAAGGTAACCTCTTTTATCTGTGCCAGAGGCTTAGGGTCAGAAGGTGCTGCAAAAGAAACAATCAAGACATGGTTCCATGTAGTAGGAATCATTAGTTACAGTTTTTATTTCTGTGCTTTTGCTTTCTGGATGTTGTAGGAGGTGGTGTGAGCATCTTTGTGGGCTGGGACTGCACAGGCTCATCATCTTTGCCGTCGTCATTAGCATCAGATTCCTTATCCGCATCATCCTCTGAAGGTCACTCGTTTCGAGTATTGTTGCCATTAGGGCCATTGTAAATGGAATCAAGGTCACTCAGACTATCATAATCTAGTAGACTCTTGTGTTTTTTAGAGGCAGGGATAGTTATAAATGCCATCATAATAATAATTCCAGGAGAAGATAGTGTACAGCGAACAAAATGTTGGCAAGTCTAACATTTTCTAATTGAACAAAAAATCATGCCACTGCCATTCTTTATGCAAAGAGCTGTAATTTCTGCCATAGGTCCGACTATTGCTAACATGATGGGCAGTCTTTCTCTCCCTCTGTCACTCCCAGCTGGCAGGCATACATGTCTCGCCAGTCGTGTCTTTGATACCTTTAAGACAGCTGTGCTAGTCGAGGACTCAGATAACCCAATGTGTTTTGACTCTTGCCCCAACATTTCGGTATGTATCAAACAATATCATTGGGTCGCAAAGAATTGATTTCATTTACCTACAGGACAAAGCTGCTAGTCATGGTGGCCTGCCAGGATTGGGTGATACATCCCCCTTTCAAATGTTGCCTCACTTTCTGCCGTCGACTTTACAAATATCCTCAGGCTCATCATCTGTATCATTGCTCACTTCAACATCATTGCTCTCATCATCTGTATCATCACTCGCCTCAATGTCTTCCCTTCCATCTTCATCGAGCCCTTCACTTCCATCTTCATCAGCCTTGTGTTGGTCACAACTTTTGTTGCCACAACCCTACCAAGGTATTCCAGTCAGGGACTCCACCCTGCTTCAAGCACTTCTTGAAGATGCCAAGGCAGTTGTTACTGAGTGGCAACAGAATATTATCAACTGCTTGTGGAGTCCTGCATTACCTGATGGACGGGATATTTCCTTCTTTGTCCCCTCAAAAACCTGACTCTTCTGATATTACCAATGTTTTGATGCTCATGGTCGAGGGCCCATACCTTCAGACAACTGCCATGGGTTTTGCATCATTTGTCTGTCGAAAGTTGGAAGGATTGCCAGTCTACCTACCTAAGCATGTCGCAATCCCATTAAACTTTGACATTCACAATATATTTCATCCAGAGCGCACCTGGAACGTATATGTTATACTCATTTGTGATTTGACTTATCATACTGATCTATCATTTAGAGGATATGCTATAGGTAGTGGCATAGAGTGTTCTGTTCTGCGAATAGCTATGAAGGAAGTCTGCTGTAACCAGAAGCTTGTAAAAGGAGGAGCTGATGGAGACACTGGATATCATGACCTTAACCTCCGCACCAACTCAATCATTCTGGTATGATTGATTAGTTTCCATGTCTTAGGCTTTCTTGCAGCAACCTATCTTTTCATCACAGGCCATGGCCCTGCACCTTTGTCCCCTGCCATCCTTCTGTTTGTGATTGGTGGCTGGGAAGCATTGTTCAACCTTAAGCTCATTGACCTTGTACTGCCATCAAAAGCCATTATGTTATGTTGATGGCCATGAACCTATAAGGCAAATATTGACCTGTTGCTGTATGGTGCTATTGCATCAATGGTTATGCAACATCTAGCGCTTACGATGTGTGACTACCTCTGACTCGCAGTTGTTGATCTTAATCACTGACCTTATATATGCAGCCTGCTGAGGAGTGGGAGAGCATTACAAAGCAGATGTTTGCATCAATCCTGCTTTGTAGCCCTGTGACTGATGATATTGCTAACTTGCATGACCTCAAAAAGGATTCAACATGCGTGTCGGCGCTGGTACCAATAGTGCTTGCATCGGTGATGTAAGTTTGTCTTTCACTCTCATCTATAGTATTATTAATCAATGTTCCATAGATGCTATCAAAAAACTACAAAATACTCATTCCAATAGCTTACGGTCACACCATAACGTGCCCTGAGGATATCACTTTTATCAGCACCAATGACTCCTGCATTAACAAGGGAGCTTCTAGCAGTTAGATATTGCAAGCAGTGCCATTTGACAAGGAAATTGAGACACTTGTTATCCAGAGGTTACAACACTATCTCACAGGAACTGGTTACCAAGAACATCCAACACTGGGCCCTGACATCATTGCTCTTGATCATCACCAGCTTAATGCAGGAAACCATTCACTTCAATCATGTTCCTTTATGTGGTTTGCTACAGGCTCTGACATCATGCCATATGGTGATTGGACTATTATGGTGGGTTCAATTGTGCTTTGTTTGACCAGTTTTGTCCATGAAATTTTGCTCAGATATGATTCAAGCATGATCTCCCAGATCAATATATACATTCTGTCCAAATGAGTAGTGCTTCTGATTGGAGGGTGCAGTTTTCCTCACATGATATGTTGACGACCTGCTAAGGTGCCAGCAGCCTGAACCCATACCAATGTTATGCTGTACATGTTTCAATGAGATTCAAGTCATTTTCAATCAAACAATGCTTGGCTTCATCTGTGAATCCCTGCCAGATCATGATGATGGATCAATTGCAACAACATTTGATGCATGGAAGAATGCATCTATCTTGCACACGACTGCTGACTACAATGTGGCTTGAAATCATTGTAAAGTCATTCACTTAATCATGAGTGTCCATACCAACACACTGACCTTATCACTAGTAAATATTTGCAGTGTTTCAATATGTTTCAGACCTTATGTCTATCACATATCCTCAAAGCAATTTGTACCTTGCTAATTCATTTGTTATTCTGCAGCCAGCACCTCCAAAATGCATGTATCTCCATTCCTCTTTGTATTTCCATGCATCATTCAATACCCAAGTAGCACTTCACATCTAAGTCCATACACTCAGTCATATAGTTATTCCAGCAGTTTTGCTACAGTAGCACCTCAGGCCTCAATGCCTGTAGCTCATGTATTATCACATCTTACAGCCCGTAATTGAGATGGCTAGTATATGATGTTTAGTACCTGTTGTATCTTGGATTGTGAGCCTTATCATTGAAACCAGTATCCAGGAGATGCTCAGTGCTCCTGATGATGCCACATTGGTTTCTGTGGATACACCTGATCACCCTTCTGTTCAATTCTCTCAGGCGATTCATACTGGTCACTGTGGACATCCCTGTGTAGAGATTGATACAGATTTGTTAGGCATTGCACTTACAATGCAAGGACTGACACATCCTGTACCACTTGCTGGGTGCTTGGCTCGTATAGTCCGTTGCAGGGCTTTTTGAGCATGACCTTATTGAACCTGGTTCGCCTGTTTATGTTGATTTTGTTGATGAGAATGGTCATGAAACTGGATTTTATACTCAAGCATCGAGGAATCACTCTAGAGTTTCTGATGATGAACTTGATAACATTACTCAGCAGATATTTGTAGTTTTCTCCCATTTTGGTCGGAGGATGATCAACAGGCACATGTGATTTCTTGGACATCAAATCCCTCACTGACAAATCCATGCATCATATACACATATCCACGGTCCTCCCACAGGTTCATTGGTCCTCGACAGATCCAGTGTTGAGTCTACAAGGTAGCGAGGCCTAACTCACTGAGTCACCGTGATGGCCAGCATGATTAGTTCTACCTGTCTTATGTCACACATTTCAAAGTCATTGCTCACTGTCGGATTGATCATAATATTAAGGACTGATACAATATTGGATTGTTTTTCATGCCTTCATAGATGGGTCTTCCCGGTTCATTACTGGCACCAGGACCAGTAATAACAACCATGCAGAAGCTGTCCTTGATTTGTTTACAGAGATCATTGAGATTCATGGCTTTCCCAGTCGTGTACAAGGAGATCATGGCAATGAGAACCTAGGTATTGCTCATTATATGGAGGAAGCACAGGATTTGGGGTAGGGATCCTATTCTGGGACTGGTAAGAAATGATTGAGCATCACAAGTTTTATATAATATAATATTTCATATTAGAAGTGTGCACAATGTGCGCATCGAGTGACTATGGTTCAACCTGACAAGCGGGTTTTGCTTGGAAGGACTTCTTTCAGTGTCTTGAGGCACATGAAGGCCTCGATCCTGATCTAGAGAGTCATATGTGGCTCTTGCACCACCTCTTCCTAGATACCATCAGCGAAGATGCTCTATAATGAGCAGAAGCATAGAACAACCATGTCATGTCCATTCAAGGTGAACAACACACCAGTCCAAGAGATATGTTTTCTTTGGCATGTTAGAGAATGGAATGCATGGTTTTGTAAGAATCCTTTCATTACTCACCACCCACAGCACTTCTCAGAGGTTGTGGTTCCGGAGGTGAACAGCCCACTTTCACTTGATCAAGTGCAGTTTCTTGGAATACAGCTTGAGGCTGTAATACCAGTACACTCTCACAGCATGGAATACAGACATTTCATTTGGTCTACAGCTTTACAGATTTGTATAAATTTTTCTACATGTAAGGATGGTGTACTGTAGCTTACATGTATACCTGCACGTAGTTCGCTGCAGACAAGTCAATGCCAGCCGATGGCGACAAAGAAATAGAGAAGGAGACATGAAAAGATCAATGAGAGCAGTGCTGCCAACTCTACTGCATAACATTCGTAGGTAGTTTGAAACATTTTGCTTCCCACATCAAGGATCCAAGAGAAAAAGAGGGCAAGAGGATGCACAGCTAAGTCATGTCACAGGACAATTTGTTTGTGAAGAGAATACAAAGATAACACGTAATATGCACCTTAGTAGAAGACTTGAACAAACACTAGTGCAACCCTCCCGATCTTGCGTGGATTGAATTTATGTATAGTCGTTCTAAGTGGGGCTTGTTGTAAGTTACATCATAGGTGATAAAGGAGTGCATACTGAACAGTGTCAAGTATGTTTGTGGAGACTTCCTGCAAACTTTTGAGGACCAACATCCAAAACCTGCCACATATAATGTCACAAAATCCCCAACCCTCTCATGTGGAATGCCTCGTGCCCATTGATTAACATTCATTTAGGAGAAATAACATAGGCTTGTAGACTCACCAATGATCTTGATGTCTGAAAGACAATTAAAGCCCACTAGAAGGCTCCAATGAGCTGCTCTGGCATGCCATATAGTCCATATCATCCTTAGTTGAGAATCTCTGAATGCTGATCATGTCTTCCATGTCTGCTAAGATCAAAAGGCACCAACAATAAAGATCCAAAAGATGGTCCGAGGCATTGCACACTGGCCTGGTAGGTAGTGAATTATCACATGTTCAAGAGACAGCTCACTTCAACTATGGGATTTGGGGAGATGTATACATGCACTAAGGCGAAAATTGGCGAAATCATGAAGGGGATGAAATAACAGTATGGAACATGACATTGTCTCCAAATGGCAGAATTGTTGCCAGTGGCTATCTTCATGGGACAGTGAGGTGAAAAGAGCCCAGTGAGATGTTGGCAATATGCTGGAGTCCAGATGGTGTGCTGGTTGTCTTGAGGGAATTAAAATCTCAAACGCACTGATAAGAATCACACAAAATTTCCTTTTCTGATTCAACCATTGGTTTTCACTCAAATTTTTTGAATTTCACTGTGCAACCATTCAATTAATTTTATCTAGCGGTGCCCCTCATACATCTGGCTATTACAAATTAATTTACAAACTCCAAGCCTCATCTCCCGCAAATTCATTTGCAACACACTGTATCAACGAATGTTTCTTTTGCTTCAAATGCACTAGTACATATGTAGAACACACTAAGTGAAGTAGCTAAACAATTACTTGAGACACACAGCTAAACTTTCAATTTGAGTTTACGGCAAGGGGGCCCTTGCAGGGCTAGGTTGGATATTGTTCAGGTGTGCATGACTTAAGGAGACTAGGTCTGTCAAGTTGGTGTCTGCCTGGCTATCTCCAGGAGTAGGTAGATCTTGTTGCAAGATTAGTTATAACACACAGTATCCAAGTTGTGTGTGAGCACTCATGATCGTGATTCTTGCTCTTGTTTGGCAAGCTTCCAGTATGGAACTACGAACATCTTGGGACCCTTCTATACTTTATTCACTGCATTCAGATGGACACCTGTGCCAGCCTTCTCAGGTGGAGTATGCTTTACGCAGTTTCATATTCAGATCGTTATGCTTATTGTATAAGTACTTGAATTTAAATGGTGTCATATTTGAAACTCTTGAGCTCTCGGATCTCAGTGCTTTGGATTAGGCTCATTGTTACCAGGAGTGAACGGGGTCAATGGTTGGTCAGCATTCACTTAGTGGTCAGTGCCACTGTGCAGGAAACGAGGCAGAAGATAAAGTGATTTTGCTGCTCTCATCCTGTGTTTTGTCCTGAGGTGCTCTCTTAGTACTCTCTTCTTCATCACCAGAATTTATTAATCCCACTGCTTCATAGAACTTGGATATGTAAGGCTTAATGTTGTCCACTTCCATGGGATGATCTTCTGGATATCAGGTCCTCAAACCAGGTATTACATCCAGATAAGGGATGACTCATATGGCAAGTGATAGATGATTGATTTTTGAATTTCTTTCTGCACAAGGGAGAATAGATTGAAGCTTCAGGCATGCTGAAGTCATTAAGATACGAAGTCCTGAACAAGTCACAGACCAGTATACTATAGTATACAGGCCCTGCATTTGCCAATAAACATTCTTCAGAGTATGATGACTGCTACTATACAATCCTTATTGATCAGTGCTTTAGGCTCCTACTTGGAAAATTCTCTCCAGGCCTCCCGCAATAATGATGGGGACTCTTACCAGCCATGCTGTTTGAATCTGAAACACCAGTTTTCATAATAGTGGTGTGTCTGATCTATTGGAAGCTATTGAGAATTTCAATGCTATGGTGAGTCAGTCTTCTTTCATTATTTTTGTAAAGTCTCAAAAGGAAAGGGTCAGTATTTCAACAGTCCGTCAAAGATTCATCTGAATATAAAGCAAATCTAACTATGAGAAAATGAAGTTTTGTCAAGCTTGTGAAGATTCTAAGCTGAAGCTGCAGGAAAGAGTTTGGATGATGCAGACCTTGGACTGAGATATATGTAAGTTGTCTTCAAGAAAAATTCAAGGGCTCATCACACTCAGGCTCCTCTATCTGGACTTGAAGGATGTCTGCATGCCAGTAAGTGTTATAAGTAACATTGGTCGCATGGCCCCCCTATCATTTTCCCTTCGTCCTCGCCCTCTACTGCATCTGGCTCGCACTTCTCTACCAAATATTTGTTGACCGGATCCTCGGAGCTATTCCCATCCCTTGTCTCCTCCCTTCTGCACTAACGTGCGCACATGCCTTCGGGCTATGACTCGTCCTGACTCATGCCACCGATGTGGCTTTCCTTATCTCGCCTTATCTTTCCTTTGACTCATGCGTGCTGCATATTGTATCACTTACTGTTGGCTTGTTCCAACATTTCTCAGTCTCATTCTGCATTCAACCATCCATCACTAATATGGCTCTGCTGCCAGCGTACCTATACCATTCTCGCTTCCCCTTTACCCTTACCTACAGTACGGTAGCCTTGCCCTGAACCCTCTCCACTTAGTATAAGTAGTCAGTCATCTTGTACTAGATTCCCTAACTTGAATATACTCAATCTTCCCTCAAACATACTTCCTTCTGAAGCCCCTAAGCTTCAGTCTCTAGTATCTTTTCTTAAGTGCTCATCGCACTTAAGTCTATCTCGATCGACACTCATCGTTAGGACTCGCCTGTACTTCACAGACATCTGTCTTAGAAGTCACGTGACACATGCATCCCTGATATCTGCTGACTAAGTGTCGCCAGTCTCAGTCGCCATACTGGACCCTTCCGGTTATGTCACATGAATGTTAGCGGATGATGTCCCTCTTAGGGCTCTGCATAACAGATCTATTTGAGTACATAACAGTAAGCATACTGGTATTCCAGTATGAACTAGTGTTTGAACATATCACAGACAACTTATAAAATGTGTGGCATGTCACCATCCAGCTTGATTAATTTTATTTGTTGGCACTTTCCTCATTTTTCTTTTATGTTTGACATATGTACTATGTGAATTCTTGCAATAGTGTTTATATGTCCAACTTATATGTTATCACATTGGTTCATAATTTTCAGTGTGCTACTAATTTGAGTGATGTAAATAATTCCAGTGAGTCAATTAAGAGTTTGTCTTGAACTTGAGATAGTATATAGTATAGTGTATATGGCTTGACACTTGCAACTTGAAGCCAAGATTACTGTAATTGAGTCCTGTAGTAGTCAACATCTGGAAGAAACTATGACTCTGTGGGTAACTAGAGGTAAGTGGTGCTGTAGCTACTGTATGGTGTGAACTTTGTGTGAATTGTGGTGTTCTGTGGTTGGCTGTAGCTATAATGTAAATTTAAATCTTCTGTAGGCCATCAGCAAAATGTCAACTTACTTAATCCATCTTTTTGGACTTTCCACATCTTTCCCAAATTGAGTGGTCTTAGAATTAGTTATTTTCTTAATTCACTGCCTGGTCCCAACTTGAGTATCAGGAATAGTTTATTATTATTTCATACTGTTGCAATGATTGGAGTTTACAATTTGTAAAGATTACCACTTCAGGAGAGGATTTGAAAATTCAAATTAATGAAGATAATCAGCACTCTGTGCCACTTACTGATAACAAATTTATGTTTTATGTTTTTAAATATGTCTTTTAGGTTAATAAAACATATTGGAATACATAAGTTTGGATCAGGCAGTGAATTAACAAAACAACTGATTTTTAACAAGGCCATTCATTTTTGAAAAGACGTGAAAAGTCCTAAAAAGGCGGATTAAGTAAGTTGACATTTGCTAGTGTGCCCACTGTTTGATCTTCACTGATAATGCCACCACTGGTTCATATTTCAATCAAGAAAACTATTTTACAAATGTTTACAACCCATACCTCTCTTCAATCTCAACACTAATTCCCACCATCATGGCAGTAACCTAACAGTCACCTCAAGTACTAATGTCCCCACCTGGATCTCCGAGTTATTTAAATAGTTCCTTCCCCTCCTCATTGGATTTCAACAACTCTCTCAACTACCTGCTGCCTCTCAATGGGTCTTATAGTGTTTTGCCCTGATGTGTGCTGCTCTTGTAGTCTTCTTACACAAGTCACAGTACCACATAACTAGTGATTTATTTTAGTGTTGATTGCATATTATCAGAATCACTTGCTTTGTCTTGTGCACTTTAATGTGAAGCCCCTGGGTATACCCTTGAAGTGTAGTACCCAGGGTGTCTATCTCCTCTACCCACTATCTAACCCATACCCTTTGTGCAAGTCCAGGTATATTACCAGGTCCAGGTCTGGGTATGTGCTCAAATACCCAGGAGTTTACCCATACATTTACCTACAAACCTGTGTACATTAATTAATACTTTCATTGATCCATGCAGGTGCAAAAGCTTGCTGGGCAAATAGTACTACTATGTTAGTGTGCTTGCAAATTTGTCTGTCCTTGACAATGTCACATATTCACATCTGACAGAAGTCAGCAGATTTATGAAGATTGTTGTAATGTGCCAGATCAGCAAATAAAGGCCAAAGGACCAGACCGACCCAGACTTCAGTAGGCATGGTATTGACATTGATGGAATTTGATTAGTTCTCACTTGCCTAACCTAGGTGTTATCTTGCTCTGTTGTGAAGTCTGAATCTTCAAAAGCTGATGGACCATCACAGGTAGCATAGACGTCCGAAACATGCCTCCATAATCTCAATAATGTGGCGGAAGTCTGAGACAGAAAACACTGAGAACATATGTAGTTATACTATGACACGAGGTAGCCATCGATGCCCCACATTTAAAAGGAGATTTGGCCCAGTCTATGAAAAGCATCCAGGAATGCCCTCAGCAAGTACATCATAGTGCACAGACCTCAGCAGTAATGAAACATGCATAAAGGCTCGCTTGGGTCACCAACATTAGATTCAATATTTTACTTACTCTCACACTTACACTACCCACCTTGCACTATCAAAGTGACAGAATGGCCTCCCTGCAATCAAAACTACATGGCACAGCAGATGATGTCATGGCCAACATCAGCGAAGATGGGATAGAGTCCACAGTGTCTAGCAGTGCCCCAATAACATTGTCACTTATGGAGGCATATTGATTACGCTGGAAGGTACATCCTTTGAAAGGTTCAAAATGCCTGTGTAAATGTGTTGTCAGCATATAGAAGACCTCAAAGATATGTGGACAGCTACCATTGATCCAATGACCAGTACAATGCATACATGAATAACTCTGCCGGTCGAGATGTGTGGACAGTTACCATAGATTCAACTGACGATGGGTACAACACATACATTGCCAGTGAAGATATTGGCAGGACACTAGGTATGTTAGCCACAGAACCTGGAGATATGGGTGTGCTCACCAAGATATTTATATATGTTCTAGAAGTGCCAGCGGACTCCGAGATAGTCAATCATGCAGATGGAGGAATGTTATGCAAGGTGTCTGACACTACCGAGGATGCTGGTGCTGCAGTTGAGGGAATTTGAAGTTTCATGGACATTGAAGCATGATGTCCAAAACAGGTCTGACCTCCTCTACCATACTTCCAATGTAAACTCATCAGTCTGGCGCAGAGTGACAATGTCATGGACGCTGTATCATTGGCTGATATCTTTCAATGCTACACTAATACCGACATGGTTGATCCCTCTGCAGTTGATCATGCAAATATCCTAGGTAAATGCGGCTCAGACATTTGTCAATGTGGAAATATTGGGGAGTGCTTATGTGCTGAGGCTGTCCCTGCTCAAACAACAGGTATAGTGAGACCCAGAAAGTGCACATGAGTCAGCTCTAAGGTCTCTGTGGTTGCAGCCACTATAACAGAAGGCTTGATGAGACTCACAAAGCAGAAGCAGGTGGGCTCTGAACTATCGTTCACCAGACAGGCATAATGATCACATTTATCTGAGCTGTAACAGAGTCCCCATCAATGTTGATATATATCTTAGCACACAGTATCTCAATGATGAAATGCAATATGAGTTCTCTCAGTTGTGTAGTGTTTTCCATATTATCCTGGTCAACAACATGAGTTCAGACACAGTGTATATTTGATCATGGACTACCAACCATGGATTATGCTGTGTTCTGCCAGCAATTTTTTATAAAGTCTCCTATCAGTCAGGGACAACCACAACACTCACTTTCTTCAATGACATAACACATTCTACCTGTCATGTGACATTAATAGTGGCCACTGCCTAGGAACAACTATTGGCATCAATAGCTGCTATTGCCCAGGAAAAACCTATCACACCAAGCCAGACAGTTACATATACCAGTATCCCAGACCCTGCCCCCAACAATTGCAATACAAGCTTGAACTGCTGTTATCTTGGCAATTTTCAACTACATCTCATGGGATATACATGCGCTAATTGCAACTCTGTTTATCAAGACAGGAATCTCTACAACAGTCACTACTGGAAATGTGTCTCAGTGGGAACCTTCAATGACCCTGGATCTAGCAACACAATCACAGTCCATTGAAATGCTAATGGAGTGTTCTTATGCTATTGTACCAGGGAGGGTTATCCAAAGAAAGCTGGTTTTGCTACTGTAGATAGTCTATGCTTTCACATATTAAGGAATCGTTCCCGATGGGTTGGGGCAGGCAAGGTAGCTTTTGTCAGCTCAGTATTTAATACATGTTAATTTCCTCACTGGATAGCTCTTCCATTCAGAAGACAACACAATCATCAACCACAATCTGCTCATTGTACTATTTCATGACTTCACCTTGCTATTATTTTGTCATGCAGTCTTATACATCCTGTATAACAGACCATTGTAATCAAGAGAGGGTGACTGTGTCAGCTCCAAGCGCTATGGAGGCAAGTCCATGATGTTCATGCATAGTTGATTCCTTAACAAAAATTCAATAGAATGTCATTATGCATTCTCCTACACTGAGGGAACCCAATTCAGAAATTGCTGCGAGTCACACTTAGCCATTGCACGACATATTTCCCTGATGAGATCAATGTTGGTATGTAGACGCTGGTGGTATCTGCTAGTGTTGCGCAGTTGCACTCACCTTCGCTGATTGATACCATGATGTCCTCTGAAATACCACAAGAGGCCCAGTATGATCTGGATCCTTCTATCCCTCATTACACAAAAGATGGATTTGCCACACCACACCACGAAAAACAATCCGTGTTTAATCTGGAATTCCTGAATATGTGCATTCTGCAAGAACACAGCCGGGGGCTTCTCCATAATTCATATCTTTAAACTCTCAACTTAGCAGTGAATGCTCAGTTTTGCTTCCTCTACTGTGAGCTTTGCCAGACATTTGTACTTATTCAGCAGGCACAGAGCCACACTTGTAAACATCAAGGTCTAAAATTTGACCTGGCTCAATTTATGGAGGCCATAGCAGAAGTAGGGGTTGCAGACAATTTTTTAAGTGTCAGGTCAGGCATATTGCCCACGGATAGATTAGCGATCCATGATGCCTTCACATGCAGGCATAAGGTCCTGCTGTCGGAGAAGAAGATACAAGAGCACAGCTTCTTGAAGCGCAAAAACCTTCTAATACCTGGTGCATGGAGGGTTTTCAGGGCTCAGCACTTCCAATCTGGAGATGGACAATCCGGACACCAGGTCTTTTGGAAGATTTACGAGTCAGATGGAGATTCTACAACATTCTTGGACAGCATCATTCAAAATGTGCTAAGCAAAATAGATGATGAGTTGGTTGTTCTATAGCTCCTTTGAGATGATTATATGATTAGTTCGTGGTTATTGACCACGTGATGACATGAAAATATAAGAATCTATTCACTGGAGGCCCTCCGGAAGATGATAGTATTGCCCCAAGATGGAGAACACCTGCAAAAGCTCAAACACTCAGTGGAAATATATTTTGACACTGCTTTGGCCCTGATACCAATGACAGACAAGATTACCTTGCAGAAACTCAACTCGCCTGATTCTGTCAAGTTATGAGCATCACCATATCTCGCAACAGAAATGACCACTGGCTGATATAGATAAATGTTATTAGTGGAATATCCAATACTCCATTTCACAAGCACCAGCAATGGGAAACCATGCAGCACTACCTATACCCAATAGTTGCCCTACTTTCCATGCTTATCCACAGTAACCCAGATGATCCATATAACATTCCGATGCATCTGGAGAAACTCTTGGACAACCTGGACCTTAGCATTATGCAGGATTTTCCTATTAATGAGGGGACAATAACAAGCAATATCCATCACATATTCATGTATCTTTGGCAGACAAAATGGGAACATACCAACATCAATCCAATACTGGATCCCACTAAATGGTGCCTAGCATTACTTATACTCCAGAAAGACGGGTCATTTAAAGAGCCACAGGATGTCACTGGAATCATAGCAAATGACAAATACTGCATGTGGCTGGCATTCCTTGTTGAGAAGACCCATTTCACATTCTCTTGTCTTCACTCTCTGCAGCACTGTGCCTCAGCTCTCGCATATGACACTAGGAGCCTCCCTCGCCTCTGGTAGACTGACACTTTGACAGGGCATACAATGCTCTACAAAGGCAGTCGGGTAGACTTGGGTGATGTTTGCAGGATGTTTGCCAATATGGAGGCCAGACTTGTTGATGTATGGGAGAATTCAGTGTTGAAGGGCTTGCAGATTAGGATCAATTATGATGATATCGCAGACGACTTGACCAACAAAGATGTTAGATACTTGTTTTTATCTGATCAACACAACTTGTACCTCACCAGGCGAGACTGGCTGCTTAATGGATTTTTACAGGACAACACAATATTTGCTCACTTGCAGTGGTCCAGCAGGGGGATATCATATGGAATCAAGCAACCCTCAGAATGTGGCTTTAGGATTATGCGGATTTTCACAGTCTCCTACTCCTGCAATGTGAGATGTTAAGTGGGGCATCCAGGCATAGCACAGAACTGACTGCAATGACTTACCAAAATACTCGCCCACAGCTGATCAGAAATTCCGTCATCTTGGGCAAACACATCACTATGATCTGCCTGTAGTCCAAGACAAGTGCAATCACTGGAAGAGACAGGATGATAGCCCACAATTTAGATGTAGTGACTGGTGACATTCTTGTCCAAGACCTTGCTTTAGCAAGTCCATTTGCAGAATTTGCTGCATCAATCTGTTTCCCCAATAATTTAAATGTGAAAGATCTGTATCGCCAGCACATTTTCGTACAATTTGATAGATTATTTAACTCCACCGAACATGTTGCTCTCACTGTGGTTCCCCTGGAAAACAAACTTATCTCACAAGGGAGTTCTATCATGACTATCAACAGCAAGGCATCTGGTCTTATTTACCACTCATTGTTTATATGTGGAGTAGTCAATGCTCAGGTGTGCTCATTGTTATCATCAATAGTATTCTATGCTAACCAAGTGGCAGGGTCATTCATTCAACTTCATGCATAACGTGCTCCACTCTATTTGCCTTTGAGTTTTCTATGATAGTGGCTCTAAGTCTTTGTCCCAATTCCCTACCTCTCAAAAGACTATTCCGGACAATGCTATCATCTTGATTGCAACAATCATAAATATACAGGTAGTACTAGTATGCTCATAGTAATCAACTGATTTTCTCCAAGGTTTGAAACATTCTTGACATCTATTCTAGGCATGGCCAAGCAAATACAAAGCAAATAAACATTATAGAATCAGAGATCATCTACAAGAAAATCGCTGGCCTGTTCAAACATGTTAGCAATGACGAGTGACATGGTTTGAAGCTACACAAGATGCTTAAATCTTGGACATAGGCTGGTATGTAAGTCTGTTTGATTTGTCTTACTAGTACTATTATTGACCATCACATAGAAACAATCTTACTATGAGCAATGAAGACAGTGATGGTAGTTCTGAATGGGAGGTTGATCTTAATTAGTCGTTTTATTATCTTTAGCCTTGCTTTTCAATTTACCTTGCACAGTAGGACTACTATTTTTGCAGTGTCTATGTCTAAATGAATAATGTTTGTTTCTCACTAGTGCAGTCCAAGTTTGATTGAGTTGGTGATAGTATTCTATGTTCAGATATCATGTGAGATAGTGTACTTGAACTCATACATTGCTATATAACATTATACAGCATGGTCATGCTGTGCAGCATAGATCTGCTGTCTAGTACTGTGCAGTGCTACCCGCACTGTGCCATGTTGGATGACCAGGTCCAGTCACACATAATACATACACTGTGTAGCATTGTGACTCAGCTGTGCACAGGGGGACTTGCTGATGTACACAAATAACTACAAGTCTGCCACAAGTACATAGTAGCACAAGCAGGCAAATAGCTCACAAGTGTACAAACAACACAAACTGTTACACATTGTAACATGCAAAAGGATATAGTACCAGTATATACTACTAGCAGTAATTTTATATACAATAGGGAGTGAGAAAACTGACTATTTACTAGTATACTGCATGGTCGAATAGATCGACAGTAGTAGTAAGTATGAAAGAAAATGTACTCACTGCTCATGTCACCCTTGAAGAGTAACATACATTGTGATGCTGTTTTTCCTCCAACACTCTGAGCTCATGTGTCTAACATTGAGGTTTACCAATACTATGTTGTTCCAAAAGGCAGTCAGCCAGGTGCTTTTGAGCTTGACACACTTTGCATTTGGCCTGGGCTGCCTTGAGTGCAAGGTTAGAGTCATCTTCTTCCAGTTGATCAAACAAGTGGTAGGACATTCCTGGTGATAGCAGATTCAGATATGAGTAACAAGGCAACACATTAGTAGTATTGCAACTCACAAAATGCATTGCTACAGGTAGCATCAGGAAATCATGTTTACTTATTTCTTACTAATTTTTCTTTAATCAGCACCTGGTCTCAATGCCTTACAGAATCTTCTCTGCTGCCTTGGATACGTCATCAAAAGCAAAAGGAGTGGTCATATCTCTTATATTGCAGTTACAAATGGAATTGACCTAAGGGTCAATACAATCTGACATTGAACTGGCATAACGCATGTGTCGGATAATGGAATAAGATGAGATGAGCGGAAGGAAGTCAGCCATAGTTCTCCCCACTAATAAGATCAGGCGTGCAACTCATATTGAATTTAGTAGCTTGTTATTGTATAAGGTCCCCCCATTTGGTTTAGCGACCTACTCAAGAGCCAATGCTTGTGTGCAGGAGGAAATCGGAGATAAATACCACTCACATCCCAGTCTACCCTAGGAGGATAATATGCCTCAAGTTGAAGAGGCATCGGAATTGCAAGAGTCAGAAGAAGAATAGCAGGAATGGTGAAAGGAAAGAGAATAGGTGTTTTGAAGAGAGGTGCAAGAAACATTTTTAGTATTAGGGAACATATGGATGCACAGATAATAGCGATATATAATATTATAATCGCACAGCTAGACTTAGAAGATTTTGGAACAACAGCAGTGTGGGAACTTGTGTATATTAATCAATATGTCAATACCTACATGTCTGAAGTGCAGAAAAGTATTTACCAGGGACTCCAGTGTCACTTGCCATCTAAGCCAGCCTCAGACATCTTGTCACAGTTATGTTTCTGACATTGTTGATATCTTAAAGTTTATGGATGTAGCTCCACCGCAATGATCCCTTGATTCACCTCAAACTACTAGTATGAGTCAGAGCCTTAATGTCAGGGATGACTCACAATTTGATACTATGGACGCCATGGATACCAACTTAGATGGAGATTTGCAGCTCTCCATGGTACATGTCCTTTTTTTTCCTTTCACACTTTAATCATGACACTACGTCACATATAAAATAATTGAAGCTGTCCTTTAAGAATGCTGAAGATTTGTGAGGTTGAGCTGAAATTAGTGTTTCAAAGTCTGGTCTAGTCTGGTTTTTTGACCCTATTTGGAGGCAACTAAACCAGGACCAATATTTTCACTGCATCAATACAAACATTTTGAGCCTCTTATCTTATCAAATGGGTAAGATTTGAGCAAGTTATGAGCATTACAGACAGGCTTGTATGACTTTTACAAGCAATTATTGAAATGCTCGTAACTTTCCCAAATCTTGACCATTTTTTATGATCAAACCAGTCATAAATGCGCCTGAATAGAACTATCATGTGGTAATATATAGGGTAGGGTTAGGGTTACAAAAGACAGGTTGCAACTGGTTTTCATCGGTTTTTCATTTTTGAACTGATAGGAGGCAACTGCAGTTGCAGTCCAGTCTGATTGCCAGTCTTGTTGCAGTCCGGCAACTAGTGTCTTCAGACAAACTTATTGCTTGAAAAAATATTCACCTTCTCCATCATCCTTCTCAATATATGTGGTCAAACAAGATCACATGGACATCACCTCCTATTCAAAAAGAGTTCACAAGTTTCCCCATGTCTATCAGCTTGGTAGAGAATACTGCTCCAAGTCATGTTTTAAATGACTATCTTGCAATGTACACAATATGTGCCAGCACAATCTTGCCTGATGACCGCAAAGTCGACATTACACAAACTATCAGCTTATCTTCCTTTTTGCTGTATACTCTAGACTGACAGAATAAAAGGTTTCAACAATTTTTCAATTAGAATGATCAATGCAGCAGGAATGAGACTAGCTTTAGGAACTAGGATTGACACAAAGAAACCATTTAGCCAGAATTCTGCACATGCAGCAAAAAAGCCTTTCAGGTTATTGGGATCATCATCAATGCTGGTGAGTTGCTCAAGAGTAATTTCACATGTACATGTGGGGTGACAAAAGTTGTTCCTCAAATGCAGATATGACACTAGTATAAATGAAGAAGTTTTACCACACACATGTGAGCATACATGCCTCAGGGGTATCAACAATATATGCTGCAAGGAGAGTAAAACAATGGCAGATGTTTCCCACTGGGTCAGACATCATGATTCCAAGTTCAACGGCTTTCATCAGGGGTTGTAGAATAATTGAAAGACATTTGTGGATAAGGTGATCTTCGAGCATACCCTGCATTCATTGATTGGGGTGTAAGTATTGTGGGATAGGAAGGAGAGCCATGAGCATAAACACCTTGAATGAGAGCTTCGTGTGAGTGCACATACAAATATTAGAAAGGCCTAGCAAAAGTGAGTGTGCAACCCTGGCACCTGTCATCATTGTGATTTTGGTTTTGTCAAATGAAAGCACAGTACCAAGGACTGTTGCACCTTGGGGCAGTTCATCCTATAGTTTTGTGAGATAAGGTATATCACAAGTTCATTTTAACATGTACCTAAATGCTCCAAACAGCGTCACCTGTCAATGAGGTAAAGTTGGTTGTGGAAGAGGGGGTTACTGAAGAGACTCTCCAAACACTCAACCGGATCCCTTCAGAGTAGTCAAATTGGACTTTTTGTGTCATGAAGGAAGGGAATGACTTAGCATTTCCAGCTTGATCCCTTCAGCAGCATATCAGCTAGTGTTTCAAAGTCCAGAGGATGGTCTTGGAGAAAAGCAGGAGTAGATACTAGTAAAGGATTGAGAAATATGCAGAAGATTACAATGACAATAGGCCAATGGAGCACAGTCCGCAAAGTCATTGCTTTGTAGTCATCATCATGATTAATTTCAAAGTCAATGACTTCCTATGGTATCTAATTCAACAGTCTATACAGCTTGGAGCATGAGGAAAAGAACATGATGGGGAGAACGACTTCAACTTGAATTGATCATTATGATGGTGTTAAGGTTGTACTCTCGTAGGGTCGGATCCGAAGGACTTCGGCCTCAGCTTGTACGCTGTGCCCCTTTCCTAAGTACTAACAGTAACGCATCCGAAGGTCCGGACGGGTCTTGTAGTATATCCGGATGTCTTTCGGATATCAGAAACACGTATAAGGCTAATCCGGACGTATCTGAACTAGAAACTAACAGAGTAAAGACTACCCGAAGGTAGAGCTGAGGATATAGACTATCAGAATCTATCCGAAGTCTTGGAGAGTGACAAGAGTAAGAAGGACTCAAGTCCGGAGGACGGAAAGAGGACAAACTAAGATGATATTCGAACTGAGGTACTACAGGACATATACACGAGTTTATATACTAAGTGTTACAAGTAACATCGGCTACTTGCCCCCCTATCATTTTTTCCCTTCATCCTCATCCTCGCCTCCCTCTGGCTCCTTCACCAACTATCCGTTGATCAGATCCTTGGGACCGTCCTAGTCCCTTGTCCCCTCCCTATCAGACCAATGTGCGCACGTGCCTTTGGGCTATGACTCGTTCTGACTCATGCCACCAATGTGGCTTTCCTTATCTTCCTTTATCTCTTATCTGACTCATGCGTACTGCGCATTGTATCTCTCACCGTTGGTTCGTTCCAACGTTTCTCAGTCTCATTCCGCATTCGACCTCTCATCACTAATCAGGCTATACTGCCATCGTACCTATACCCCTTTCCATTTCCCCTTTACCCTTACCTACAGTACGGTAGCCTTGCCCTTAACCCTTTCCACTTAGTATAAGTAGTCGGTCACCATGTACTAGATTCCCTAACTTGAATCTACTCAATCTTCCCTCGAACATACTTCCCTCTGAAGCCCCCTCAGCTTCAGTCTCTAGTATCTTTTCTTAGATGCTCATCGCGCCTAAGTCCACCTCGATCGACTACTCATTGTTTGGACAAGACAGTCCTTACTTTGAGAATGTCAGTGACTTTGAAGACATCCGTCTTAGAAGTCATGTGACACGCGTGTCTCTGATATCTGCCGACTCGACGTCGCCAGTCTCAGTCGCTACACCGGACCCTTCCGGTTACGTCACGAACATTAGCAGATGATGCCCCTCTTAACTTGAAGAAGTATTGAGAGCATGTGCAAGAGAGGCTCTGAGTGTGACAGATGGTAACACATGCACTGGCTGAGTATTAGTATTACTACTATACTGTAGTATTAAATGCAGTATCAGCAAGTAAATATACAAGGAAGAAAATAATGAACCTTGCTTGAGAGCTGGAATATTTTTCTTATCTTTGCTATCAGATTGTGCCTTTCTTTTCTTTAAGTTAGCCTTTCTGCTGGTCTTCACACATATATATTTCATATGAGCATTACAGACACCAGTGTGAAACATAAATGATGTACCCTCTGATATGCCAACCATCTCCATATAAAACTTACCACTGAAGTGTGTTGTGGTGGGTATAGGGATCCGCATGGGTATACCCCCAGGTGCCGGAGGTCATACCCATATCCATATATATACCCGTACCCCAATAGTGGGTATGGTTTTCATGATGGGTATGAGAGTATGAGACCTGGGGTATGACTCATCAAGGGTATACCCGCGGGTACAAGTAGAATAATGCAGCAAACTATGACATGGTGTAGTAGTACCTATCCTACTCAATGATAATGTTGTCCCAGCCTTCGTCGAGCTCCTCTTCATCATCTTTAACATCAGGCAAAGAAGTCACCTTCAAAACATCCTCGTTCTTGATTAAGTTGAGTTTGCTCCATAAACCAAGGCAAAGAAGAGCGCGCGTTGACTGAACCATGAGCCATGAACAAACATGAGAAAGCAAAAGCTGACCTCGCCTGAATAGCTGTTCAACATCCACTGAAGTTGCTATCTAATGATTAGGGTACTGAATAAACATAAGAGCGACAGAGCTTACCAGGGGTAGTCAAATAATCCAGAGCCATGCGGGAGAGACGAGGAAAGGAGCTACCATGTGATTGCATTGTTGGCACGCTCCATGTCAGTACTAAGGTAACAATATACCTTGTCATGGAGGTCAGTAGATTTGGGTGGTGTGAGAGCTGGTATATGATAAAAGATATTCTTGCTCTAGGAAAAACATGACATTAGCAGGTGAAAAAACAATGAAATAGAGCGTACCATGGAAGAATCAACATCCATCGAGCCAGCAGGCTCCTCATCCACCTCAATGTCCGTGTTGTTCTCAATGTCCAGGATTGAGTAAGAGTGTTCGAATTCCTCACGCACCAGGGTTTCAGCAGTGTCGATCCACTCTTCTGTCCATCCAGTGCTCTTGAAGTATGATAGTTTGAGCCGTGGATGCAAAACTATTTTATGATTAGTGAAGGAAGCAAGAAAGTGAAAAGAAAACATGCACCAATTGCTATACGATATACTTTGGATTTATCAGTAAGCTCGTAGTAGCGGTTCAGAGTTTTCTTGGCGAGACGCACAGCTGCACGAATAGAGGCACAATATTTCTGGTTCCCAGAATAACTTGTGAGTGTCTCATGGATTAGGTCCATGGCAGAAATCACAGTGGCCAAGTTAGGTGTGGAGCGAGAGAAGAATGTAGTTGTGTCTTTGAGAATCTATAATGTAAACCTTAGTTGATATATAATTATAAATATATGTAAACCTAAACAAATACCTTTAGCACGTCACAAAGCTGCTGCGCTATTTCCCATTCGACGTCGGTGAGTTCAAACTTATGCAAATCTAAGCCTCGGCTTTGTGTTACAACAGTGATTGCATCCTGATGGTCCAGTGCATATTTCAACATGTCAAAGGTCGAATTCCACCAGGTAGCGACATCCTGTGGCATATTGCTAATGGACTGGCCAGATGCATGCAGTGCTTTGTGCCATGTGGGGAGGAGTACAGTAGTCAAGTGAATGAGTTTGTAAGCAAGCTTGCTCAGCTAGATTCTGGCATGTCAATTTCAAAGGTGCACATTGTTTTTTTTCACTCACCTTCACTAATACTAACTTTATGGGACGAATCTCTCACTGCAGCTCATTCCTCTCCCGCTATGGCAGCAAACTTACTTCATCCACCCATCCCTTATTATTATCATCATCCCTGGCACCCCCATATTCTTCAGGAATCACATCTTCAGTTTCAGCACTCGCCTCATTGAAATCATCCTCTGGCTCCGACATTTCCACCTCAAGCGCCTGATTGGTGTCTTTCTTCATCATGTTGAATTTCCTTATCAATGACTTAGCGACAAGGTTCACCGTATGCAAGAAACATCGAGTATGATTTGGAGCTCCAGGAAATGATGGGAGCATCTTGGCCAGCTTTTCAACCATCACCGTGTTATTCGAGGTGTTATAGCATGTGATGCTGAGTATCTGAATGTGCGTCCTGCTGGTGAGTGACAATCCTCAATGCAACAATTGACCAACTTTCTCCGATATCCCATACTCCTCCAGAATATCTGCAAATGTCTGTGCGAGTTCCTCTCCTGTGTGCGACTGTGATTCAATCAGCCGAACAATTCGTAAATACATTGTAAGTGACTATGCACCTTTGTGACCTCAATAATATCTAATGGCAATGTTAGTGGCTCGCCGTTGAGTTCAAGGTGGACTGAAACTGCAACAAATGCTCTGTGGTTGGGCAATGTCCAGCCATCAGTAGTAAAATTGACTTTTCCTGGGTATCCCTGGTATGTGCATGTTATTTTGTATGTTTTGACTTTGGGCAAACTTACCTTGATCATCCTAGCTATCCGCTCTCGTGTCTGTGCAAAAACCATTCGAACATCTCTAGCGACAGTAGAAGGAGATGGTATGTAGTATTCTGGCCGTCCTGTCTTTATGAGTGACTGAAACCCTTTGTCTTTGATGATTTCGAATGAATGCAGGCTTTCGGAGACCCAATGGACAAGTTTGGCCCTATCAATTGAGTCAGAAGGTACTCTTGATACAATAAAGGGCCACGTACTTCATCTCAGCTTGTGTGTGCTGACGATGAGAGTAAGTCACCTTTCCTTTGCCCTTGTGTTCAAACAAGGCCGTAATTGACCCATTGCACAGGAAGCTGCTGACAAGTTTTGTGCGGACTTCATTAGCATCTTTGGCCTGGTCGGCAGCTTGCAAAACATCCTCTCCTCAACATCCTCAAACATGTTTTCGCATGTTTCCAGTGGAACGGGCATCACCCTTATCCAGGAAATGTCAGACTTTTGCCTTACATCCTTTTGTCTGACATTTGAATTTGTGTGCCTGCTGTCCTCCGATTTCGACTATGTTTGGTGTTGGATGAAAGAAGGCATAGACTGGTGAGACCCACTCTCACATGAGATGTTCTAATGATGTTGCATTAGATTAATGTTGATTTACAGATTTATTAATGTACTTAGTTTGTCTTGTGGATCCTGTTCTTTCTCTTCGCTTTGTGATTCCTCGTCACTTTCTTTCGGGTCAGCATCACTTCCATCAGCATACAAAGCTTCTTCCTCCTCCTCCATGCAAACGACTGCACGACAACTTTTGTCAGTCGGAGGGGGGGTTGGTGTAACATTTGTTACTGGTATTGGTGATGTCGATGGCAGTGACACTGTCATTCCGGGGGGAGTGGTATCAGCAGGTCGGTTGGTTTTTGCCTTCTTTGGCAGAGGATTAATGGTTTCTCCACTTGCTTCAGGTCTATGTTGCTTCAATGAGGTCCGCATGGTCTTCTCTTCCAAAGCAGCCTTTGCTTTGCCGGTCATCTTATTTACCCATCTCGCTGTTGCAGCAAGGAAGTTGGATTGTGACATGGTGAGGGATAGATGAAGTTGAGAGTGAAAATTTGCATGTAGGGTAGTTACTAGATCAACCATTTTGCTCATATATATTGTAAATATTGCAATTTACGTTTGACAGATGGCAAGTTAGTTTTACCATTCTAATTTAAGTTTAAAGTTTAAAGTTTGTTTGTTGAAAATTTGGGTGAAAACCCCTGCCTGGGGTATGGGTACGGGTATGGGTACCACTAAGTTGTACCCGTACCCGTACCTGGGACCTGTGTGGGTTACCTATACCCATGCCCATCCCTAGGTGGGTAGGTAAAATATGCTGTGCTCCTTCAGCATTTTCGAATATTGTGGCAAGTTCATCGCAGGATAATGAAAATGGATGTTTGTAAGGATACCATTGATGCCTTGTGGCAGTTCCTCATCATCAGTTTCTTCATCACTCTCCATATACATTGCAAATGTCCTCTCGAGTGATTGAGGAGCTGTTGAAGGGCCATCACCTTTTTGTTCAGAAAGTATATGATTAAAGGATGATACGGGTTCTATGGGCAAGTTGATTGGTTTCTCTTTCGACACAGGCATCTGCCGCAACAAGGTACTGTCAAATTATGCAGGGAACTTATAAATATCAAAGCATGTATGGTGTTTATGATTTCAATTGCAATTCTCTTCTGTTTCCATCCAAACCACTGCTCTGCCCTTGCAGCTTTGAAGGTACTTGAGTCATCAAAAGTTGATGAGGTGGGTTAATCCAGCGAGCTGTAGACAGGCACCACCCCAAGTGCTTGTAGGTCTTTGGAAGACCCATCACCACCTTCATCAAGTCGAATATATCCATAGGACTCAGGTCTGATTTGGCATAAAAATGGTCCACATATGTTATAGATTTGACCCAATCTGCAGTGTTCAGAGAAATCCTAAATTCAACTAATACATTGGATATGAGCATCTCAAATAAGTGACATAGTAAGAATGACTATAAGAATTACCTTTCTTGAGAGGGAAATGGTCAGTGCATGTGGGAACTTTTTCCTGATCTGTTAGTTGTCTTTCTGATGGCTCTGACTTAGCCTGTGAATACAACAACTGAAGATGAGAACATTGGCAAGCAGAGCGCTGGTGAGTAGATGGAATAGAATCTGAGTCAACAGCAGTGTTCTGCAAAAGAATCTTATGAGTACAACTATGACAAGTACAACCAGCAGGAGATATCATAGTGCACTTCAATGATCTGGACAATATGTACTTACTTGCCTTTTATATTACTTTAGTCAGGCTGATCACAATTGAATTTGCAAACTCACTAAATGATGATTGCTTGAAATGTTTTAGTCTGTTGTCGAGAGCTTTATTTCCATATTTGGATATACTCCATAGTAGCAATTTAGGAAGTCACAGGAGCTGAACTTTTCTGTGCTGGGGAGTGGTTTCAGGGATGTTCTTCATCACCAATCAACCATTCACTGTCTGAAAAGGAAACATAAGAGGGGGGATAGTATGGTTATCCTGGTCATTGGTGACGATCTCAATATGGTCATTTTGCCAAACACTGACACAACTAGATGATTTCATAAGCATTGGCAATGGAAACCTTAGATCAAAATTATGAGTAGCAAGTGGCTTTGGATGGCGACATTTTAAAAGATTAGGATTCTTGTGAGGATTGGCAATGGAAGCCCTAGACCAAACTTATGAGTAGGTTGTGCCAAAGTTGATACCAATAGCTTTGAATGACAATGTTTTGAGAGATTAGGATTCTTGTGAGAATTTAGGAAGGCATCCGCCTAGCATGGTAACCTAAAAATCAGCAAATGAGCTGATCACACCAAGCAACTTATTATGTTGGTCACGTCACAAAATATTTATGATATGTACAAGAAATACAAGTATAATGTATTGAAAGGGTTGGATTATAAAAGTTGAAGGCTCATAAGATGATCCAAGCCATGATTCTCAGTCAAGGACACAACAAGCAGATTGAGTGGATGAATGTGGAATTACTAGTGATCTGTATGTTAAGAGTAGAGACCGCTTTGGGATCCAGACCTTTGAAGATGGCATAATAGTAGGCATAATATTGTGTATTCTCTTCTGGCATAAAAAGAGTTTTGATGAAGACACCTGTCTCATGTTCTTGCAGTGCCCACCAGCAGACCATAGCTGTTATTAAGAGTAATGGTCTGAAATTACCTTGTGAAATATACTTGTGGTATTGGTATGGGCCATTGCATAATAAGCATCAGATCATCTGAATGAGAGTTTCACTTGTGAATGTGATAGTGCTAAAGTCAACTCCATTGGCCATATGGAACATACTATTAGTGAGATATATGGGCCAAACTCATGTTAAACTTACAGATAGTTGTCCATAGATGAATACATTGTTTGCCACTAGAACTTAACTTTGATTGGTGCGCGCATTGATGGCTAACTTCTCTACTACCATGGTCACATTGTCAAAGTCAATTCTGTAGTAGTGATGGGTGAATAATCTTGCTGCCACCGTCATCTCCCAAGAGACTTCATTGATCACAGACCCAATTCTCTCATTGACACACTTCTTGTCATTTAGCATCTTCTGAGCCCAGGCCTGGTCAGTTTCTATTCTCCATCAGTCTCTATTCATTGAAACTTTAAAAAATACTTACTACTGAATTGATTGTTGGTCACATCTTGCCATGCAGCATCTATTACTTTGGAAAGTGAACTAGTGGCAGGTAAAATTGATGTCTTGAAGATATATAGTCTTAATCCTACTTGAAGAATTTCCAACAACTTTCTGATGCCAGATCTGGGGACAATCTCTATAGCTAATTTGGGAGACGTCCTGGACGAGCCTTGGGCAGTGGAGAAGGATGCACCAGCTTCAACTTGACTGCAAAACTGAGATCACTCTATACTGACACATTTAGTGTTCTTGAAGATTGGATGAGCCTTGTTAGATTTACTATGGCTGTGAGAGATTGTTGTATGTCGAGTGACTTTGTCGAAATGAGAAGATTTGACAGCAACATCCAACTGACCTGAAAATATGAGCTTGTCGAACAAGGCCCCATCTAACATTGGTGGCTCAATCAACACAGTCTAGTGACTCAAAACCAGCTCATGGTCTTCCTGGCTTTCAGGTTGGTGCATAGAAGAGCTCTCCACATACGCAACAAGCAGGTGAGAAGGATGTGGAGGAAGAGTTGGTCAGGTGATATGATGAAGATGTGGAAGAGGTGTTGGCCAAGCAGTATGATAAAGATGTGGATAGAGTGTCAGCCAGGCGATATGATGAAGAGATGAAGGGGGCATCAGCCAGGCAGTATAAAATTCTAGGACTGTGCTTGCTGTGAGAGCCTGTCAAATAGAAGTGGTATTATTTTAAAGTAGAAAACATCGGAGGTAGTGAGTACTGACACAATGGGAGATTGCAGGAAGCATAGTGAGACAATGACATGTAGTGTATGCCTGTGACTCAAGGTAAAACATTTCAACAACATATAAAAATGCACTAATGTCATAGAGTGAGGCCAACCAAATGCCATGAACCATCTCAGCTTCTCATCCAGTGCCTATCACTCTCACATTAGCATCTGTGTTCATAATTTCCTAGTGGCTCACCTCATCATCGAAGCTGTGGAAGGGAGTAGACCAATACTTTGGTTTATTTGTTGTGCACTGTGTGATCATGTGAGATGTTGAACTATTATAAGCTGCAGCCAACCATGATGCAAATGAACATCCTAAGAATGCTTGGAAATGAGAAAATACATGTATTTGTGGAGTTCCTGACATAGAAGAGGCCCCACTGTTATTTACTGACTTTACAACTTTTGACAAATCCCATATGCACCTTAGACAAGTGTATAACAACACTTATAAAATACAATCAGTGAGTCATCCAAGTTAATTGTACTAGTACATTTAAGCATATGTATCAGTAGTGAGTTGTATGACTGTTTACCTATGATGGGCCAGGGATATTTTGAAAGAACAATTCTGTTACAAGTAACATCGGCTATATGGCCCCCCTATCATTTTTCCCCTTCGTCCTCACCCTCGTATGCCTCCGGCTCATACTTCTCTACCGACTATCCATTGACCGGATCCTCGGGACCATTCCCGTCCCTCATCCCCCTCCTATCGCACCAACGTGCGCACGTGCCTTCGGGCTATGACTCGTTCTGACTCGTGCCACCAATGTGGCTTCCCTTATCTTGTCTTATCTTTCCTCTGACTCATGCGTGCTGCGCATTGTATCATTTACCGTTGGCTCGTTCCAACGTTTCTCGGTCTCATTCCGCATTCGACCTCACATCACTAATCAGGCTCTGCTACCAGCGTACCTATACCCTTTCCATTTCCCCTTTGCCCTTACCTACAGTACGGTAGCCTTGCCCTTAACCCTTTCCACTTAGTATAAGTAGTTGGTCACTCTGTACTAGATTCCCTAACTTGAATCTACTCAATCTTCCCTCGAACATACTTCCCTCTGAAGCCCCCTCAGCTTCAGTCTCTAGTATCTTTTCTTAGGTGCTCATCGCGCCTAAGTCTATCTCGATCGACTACTCATCGTTCGGACAAGACTGTCCTTACTTTGAGAACGTTAGTGACTTTGAAGACATCTGTCTTAGAAGTCACGTGACACGCGCGTCTCTGATATCTGCCGACTCGACGTCGCCAGTCTCAGTCGCTACACCGGACCCTTCCGGTTACATCACGAACATTAGCGGACGACGCCCCTCTTAGGGCTCCGCATAACAGATCTATTTGAGTGCGTAACAAATTCACAATCATCATAATTTTCACAAGTCAAGTGAGCTTGAGACATGAATGTACTGAGTGTTTTCATCCACGAGACACCATATAGGTAGTGCACAATATCATATGTTGTCTGACTGGCTCATGTTCTTTGGATAGCCATCAAAATATCATAGTAATTTCAGTGTATGTCAAATTGTAGCTGTTACTTTCAGGTAGAATGAAACAAATCAATTTGTGTAAATTTGAACCATTCCTATTCACAATAAAAAGATGAATAATAAGTAAACATCAGACTGACAGCATCACAATAGGTGTGAGAGCATAAACATAATGTAAGAAGCCACAATAAGATGTAGGTATGATAGCAGAGTATGTATAGGATGGAACCAACAGTGGGGTAACATAATGTACAAGTGAATATGAGAGATAGGCAGAGTGATATGACTAAGAGCTCAGAAGAGTGGAGTGAGCATAGAATATCATTAGATATATTTAAGACCTATCATTCAGCATAGAGTAATAAATATCAGTACTCTCAGTGCTGGAGCAGTGGGCATTGTGAAACTAGCATTTTTCCAATGCCTCATGTAGTGTGTGCAGTGTGAGTATAGCAGCAGGTCAGCCTAGATGAGCTTTAAGGGCAGCCACTAGATATAGCCCATAAGTGCATTATAGCAATAGCAAGTGTGAGATGGTAAATGAAGCCTGAGACCTGGCCATCAGAGTGCTAAGTGCTGAGCAGCAAGCATTGCCAAGATACCAGACTAATGGCAAGTGGAGAGCAGTATACAAAGGCTTAGAATCCAGGAATAAATACTAAAGAGATGCTGAGAGATCCTCATATTCCCATTCTGGCTGCTTTTTGGCAGATGCCACAATGAGCTGTATGATGCAGTGCAGTAGAAATATTTTCAAAAATTTATCCTGTATTGCTTGGAGGGAACTCCAAGAGAATAGATAGCTCTCTCACTTTTTATATGCATGGATCTATACATGAATGTAGTAATATATCAAGTGCGTTCATTATAAATTTAATAAACAATAGATTTACCCATCAGCATCAGTGAGGTTGACATCATAGTGTCTCAAAGGTCCGATGTAAATGTAGACAAACTTATGGCCTTCAATAAAAGCCATACCAGCTCCAAAGATATAGGAGGACCCAAGTTTGAGAAGCCTGTCTAGTTCTGGAAGAGGAATCATATCTTTCCAGACATTGAAAAATATGAAGTCAGTTAATGAATATGTTGTGTCATTGTTTTTTTGATCCTTGTGACACTTGATGTAGAAGTACTTGTGCTCTGGCACTAATTCACCAAACAGTGGCCTGTAGCATTCCACATGGTCTGCAATGTCTATGAGAGTGTTGTTCTTGATGTCAGCTGATTCTTCTGGAAAAGACACTTTGAATGCTGTTGGTTTCCATCTTTGTTGAAAATCAGCTGGCATCCTGTATTGTCTTTAGAAATTAGAGTCTGGAACAAAAAGGGTTGTGTGACAAACTGAATTACTTACTTGTATGATAGGAGACTTATTATGAGAAAGATAATGTGTGGAATAAGAAACCTTGGTCAGCTTTATATCAATGTTTTTGAGACAGAGTGATAATGGTAGAAGACAAGATCAAACAGTATGATATATACCAGGAAGGGTGTGGTTTGGTTTACAAATCAAACACACAGCTGAACACAGTATATTAGATTAAATAATGCATTTGACTGCAGGTGTTGTTTAATTTATTCGAATTTTACAACTACTCGGTGAGACTTGGCAAGCTGTACAAGTTGATCAAGCAATTGAGAACTTTATATGTGACATGACACAATAGCCTTGAACATGTTACACGACTCAGTGCTGAAAATAATCAAAATACAACATACATGGTGTAATAAATCCTATCACAGACATGAAATGTATCCTATTATTGAATACAGCAGGTTGAATAGACATTGACAACATTAATGTACGAAACAACTACATTCATGGGCCCATTATTCTAGCCAATCTCATGAGTACTTACCTGGGTCTTTGCATAATAGTGCACTGATTGAGTTTTGGTACCTTGGCAATGTCAAGGTAGTTGGCATATACATTCTGTATCTTACTGGGTGAGATGCATCTGTGATATTCTAGTGTATATAATAAGTATAACCCATGTTTAATATATGAACACAACGACTCATGGTTTTGAGCAAAAGGAATTTTTGTCAGGTTCTCTACCAGCTGCCAAATCAACATATCACCCTGACCAAGTTCACCCCAGACCAAGAGTTCAGTAGGCAAGAGTATAATCCCATCATCATCAATGCTGTATTCATTTAGGAATTCTTCAATATCAATGTGCCTGTCCTGTACATGGAAAGCAAGCAACTGAAGGTGCACATTGGAAATAATGAGTGTGATCGCCTCAGGCTCAGCAATGTGCAGATAGAGCACAATACACAGGTGAGTCAAGGATTTAATTGACTTCATTTTGTCCTGTGGCTCAGCCAGAAAGTGATTACCATTCAGTTCAAGGTGGCTGAGATTCATGAACATATGAGATGTACCAAGGGATGATTCAAACCATATACAGATTGTAAGGAATAATGACTAGAGTAGGAGGACATCCAGTAGATGCCATCCCGCATCATGTGTATTAGGGTGCTGGGCCAGCCCAGTGACTCTATGAACCATTGGTGGGCCATCCCAGTGACTATATGAACCATAGGTGGGCTATCCCGCATCATATGTATCAGGGTGCTGGGCCATCCCAGTGACTATATCAACTAGATATGGGCTATTCCACATCATGTGTATTATAGCCCTGGGATGGCCCAACAACTATGTGAAAAGTGTTGGGCTATCCTACATCATATGTATCAAAGTTTCAGCATAAGGACAAAGACTATGTCTGTGTATTATTCTGTAGTAATATGCTGGTCATATAGTCAGGATAGCAAGTATGTTACACTACCCTCCTTCACACATATATGCTATATGACAGACCTCCATAACACTATTGATTGCAGACAAATACTATACTCTGAGTGTCTGAATGTGTAGGCAATCTTTTATAAGAAGTGACCCCTGGCACCCTCTGGTTATCAAAATCATAAGGGACTTGGGACATCCCAGATGGATCATGGGACAGACTATATACATTGGCCCAGTGAGCCCAGGTTTCTCAGGGAAAGTATTGGAATAGCCTGGATTACAACCTGTATTGCATGGGAATACCATCTAAGATTATACTCTTAGATGGGATTTTAAGTGAGAATATATATACCTAAGAGGTACCTTGAGAGGGGTGACTAAAGTGGGAAGTGGACCTTTCTGACACCTTCCTATAGCATAGTCAGTTTTCCACACCCTAACTCATAAGAAAGCAGTTACATGAAAAACAACAAACATTGAGACACTTTTTTGAGTGACTGTAAGCATAGTGCAGATGTTAACCCATTTTCAAGTCTGCAAAATGGGGCTCAGATTCTGTTGTCACTATTCTGTGGCAAGTAAGTCTTTTCATGCATCATTATAAACATGGGCTAACAAATTTGAAGCATTCTGTTCATTACCACTCCTAGCAGTATGAGGTAGCCAACCTGGACGCTCCTCAATAGACTCACTCCATCTCCTCGAAACAACTATCAAGAACACCTGGAGAACAGGCAAGGTAGCTTTAGCATTATTCCTAGATATAGAAGAAGCATTCCCCAATGCAGTTACTGACCATCTCCTCCACAATATACACATGTGCCATCTCTCCAAAGCACTGATTAATTTCACAGAATAAGTCCTACAGAACAGATGTACACAATTATGATTCAATGACTTCACCTCAGACTGGAACTCAGTTACAAACAACATCAGACAAGAAGACCCACTGTCCATGGTACTATATATTATCTATAATGCTGATTTTGTTGACATGGCCCAAGGACATAAAGAAGAAACAACTCCAGCATTCATCAATAATACCGCCTTCATTATGATAGGTAAATCATTCAAAAAAACACAGCAGACTCTCCAAGACATGCTGGAGCGCATAGGCAGAGACTATGATTGATCGACAGCCCACAACTCCAAGTCTGAGACCAGCCAATTCGCCTCAATAGACTTCTCCATAAATAGAACCAAGAAACAACTGATGATATCCATTAGATGTAACACTATCACCCCTACTCCCACTCACTGCTTTCTAGGAGTTATCCTCAACCACAGACTACAATGGAAAGCCCATGTCGACTTTGCTATAGTCAAGGGAACAAGCTACATACTTTAACTTTGCTGCCTCTCCTTCACCTCCATGAGAATGCCCTTACGACTAATCTGTCAGTTATACCAAGCCATAGCCATTCCAAGAATGCTTTATGCTACCGATATTTGGTTCAAGCCAGCATTCCAACAAGATTCAGACCAAGCCCAATGTAGTTCCATAGGTATAGCAAAACACATGTCTACTGTGCAAAGACTAGCAGTCATCGCTATAACAGGTGCTATGCACACTACCACTACTGATACACTTGAAGCTTATGCTAACCCTCTCAATCCTTCTTCTCCTACAGAACACCTGCCACAGAGCCATCTGCTGCATTGCTACCCACTCCGACATGCACCCTTTATATAAGCACATCATTGAGCAGCCAGTCATTTAGTCCAACACTACTGTATTGCACTTCATCATCTCACAAATTCTTTCTGAATTGGACCCTTTGTTCTTGATTCATGGTTGTGCATCTTTTTGTATGTTGTATATGTTTGGAGACACACTGGTGTTGGATTATCAAACCTTCTTCATGGACACTTGGTACCAGTAGTTTACCTCGTACCTATATATTCTCGTTCATTCCCGCTCCTTGTACTATCCTCAGTTGACTTCGTACATCGCTGAGGTTAGTATCATCATAGTATTCAGTATCTACTTAACTAACAACATGTGTAGCTATCTGCTACAGGTATACCAATATGATTAGTTGACTTCGTACATCGCTGAGCTATCTGCTACAGGTTATGAGCCCTGCACACCTAAAGCAAGCACGTAGGGGTCGAGCATAGTGTCAGGTTTGACACCCCAGAGGTCAGAATACCTCTGGAAGGATCTGAAGAAGAAGGACACCATACGGTATGAACCGATGATGTCGGTTCAACAACCCCGCCAATGATCAGCCACACGATACGAATTGATGATGTTGGTTCAAGACTTACCGGGAAGCCACCTGCCCAAAATCCCATTCCAACTCCTTCTACCAACCACCTAGCCCCACAATTCAAGAGTGCAGTGCTGTTGTGTCGCTCTGGCCGGGTAAGAATCAAGTCAGCGTACATTAAGAGCCTGCGCAAAGGTGCAGGCACAATGAACGGTAATAGCACAAACTTACCTCATGGGATGCAGCCCATGGGGGAGTCCAGTCACTTGGCTGTGGAGCTGGGAATGGAGGGGGAGAATAGTGAGATGGACGAAGATGATGAAGAGATATTTGCAATGATGGCAGGTGTAGAAGCCGTGGAAGGAACAGACCCCACAACTGTGAAAGAGGCAAGTGTCCGGACCGACTGGCCTAAATGGGAAGGCACAATCAACAAGGAACTCGACGGGCTGGAGGACACTCACACCTGGACTGTCGTCAAACGCCCGGACAACATAAACATTATTGGCTGCAAATGGGAATTCCGGATCAAATGCACTGCGGATGGGGAAATCAACAAGTACAAAGCTCAGCTAGTGGCTAAAGGTTATTCCCAGGTATATGGCATAGACTACTATGACACTTATGCACCAGTCGCATGCCTCACTTCTCTCTGAACCATCATGGCAATTGCCACGCACAACGATTGGGACATCGACGTATTCAATTTCCATAGCGCTTTCCTTAATGGCAAACTCAACTCTAATGAAATTACCTTCATGCAACTCCCGCCTGGACTTACAGCAGATCCTAAGTTTAAGCACCCAGTCGCACGACTGCATGTCGCACTCTACGGCTCCAAGCAGGGAGCCCTTAAATGGTACCAACAGCTATGTCGCCTCCTCAAACACTTAGGACTAACGTGCACAGAATCTGACTGGGGCGTGTTTTCAAACACGTCAGCCCCGATATCCTCATCCTCTCTGCGCACATCAACGACTGCACAGTCACCGGTAGCAACCATGCACTCATCACCACATTCAAACAGCAAGTAGCCGCACACTACAAGCTCTCTGACTTAGGACCAGTCGCATCGCTACTTGGCATGAAGGTGACGCACGACCGTGTCGCGTGCACCATCTCGTTCTCACATGAGACCTATGTTGAAGCTATCCTAACCAAGTACAATTTTGTCCACCTAAAACCATGCTCTATCCCTATGGATCCCAATCTCCCTCTTTCATACTTGCAGTCCCCTATAACTCCTACTGAGTCCACACGGATGAAGAATGTGTCCTATCATGAAGCTATTGGCTCGCTCATGCACCTTGCTGTCAGGACACGTCCCGACATTGCCTTCGCAGTATCCACTGTAGCCCAATTTGGGGCAAATCCTGGCATGCCCCACTGGGAGGCTGTCAAAAAGATCTTATAGGTACAAAAACCCTCGCACTCACCTTTGGCGGCTGCAGACAGGGACTGGAAGGTTTCACTGACACTGATGGCACGTCACAAGAACACAGACATGCCATATCCAGCTACGCATTCTTGTTGGACGGCGGAGCGGTCTCTTGGGGGTCAAAGAAGCAAGAGTCAATGACTCTTTCAACGATGGAGGCAGAATATGTTGCAGCCACGCACGCTGCCAAAGAAGCTATCTGGCTTCGATGTTTTGTTAGTGAAGTATTTCGCCCGCTTACCTGCTCTACCATCTTGCATTGCAACAACCAGTCTGCTCAGTCCAGAGTGTTTCACGCTCAGACTAAGCATATTGATATACGATACCATTTCATATGTTTTTGCGTGGACAAAAGGTCTATTTCAATCGTTTATTGTCCTACGGACGACATGATTGCTGATACACTTACAAAAACTCTTCCTAGTTTAAAGGTTAAACACTTTGCCTCCACCCTCGGACTTCACTCGGTTTGAGGGGGAGTATTGGATTATCGAACCTTCTTCATGGACACTTAGTACCAGTGGTTTACCTCGTACCTATATATTCTCGTTCATTCCCACTCCTTGTACTATCCTCAGTTGACTTCATACATCACTGAGGCTAGTACCATCATAGTATTCAGTATCTACTTAACTAACAACATGTGTAGCTATCTGCTACAGGTATACCAATATGATTAGTTGACTTCGTACATCGCTGAACTATCTGCTACAACTGGGCACTGTAAAATTCCATCAGCTCAACAAGCAATGACCCCAGGTACTTTTGGATACTCAATAAATCTAAAGTGGCAGTACAACAAATGGAATTTTAGACGATGATCATCTACATTTCTGATATTCATGCAGCAGACATTGGAATATCCATCAATCACTGGCATTTGCTGCAAGCTAGTCACTTGTGGAGAGAAAGAAAGAAGGAAAGAGTGTCACATCTTCCAGGGACAAGCCTAGCGGTTGTGTATCACTTAAATTATGCTTGAGATGCTTACATTTTTCTACTGACAACTTTTGAGCCTAAAACTCACCTTCATCATGATATAAGTATGCTAGCACTGCAAATTTCCATACATACTTCCATGTACCAGTAGCATCACTGCAAATCACTGTAATCATATCTGGGACAAGCATGGGTAGTATTATGCCAAGCTGATAGGTTTGGCAGAAACAGGTACTGCATTTCCTTAGAATCATCTTGGCAGCTTTCAACTCTTAATGCACAATACTCAGTCTATGCCCACTAATCAGGTATAACATGCATGATATACCTGTGTGGTAGAGGAACTGATATCAGACAGCCATAACATCTGCATCCTTCTTTGAATATTCCTTATTGGGAGAACTTGAAGGAGAGCTAATGAACTCATGTAGTACAGGTGTGAGTTATGCTAGAAAGTAATTTAAGAAGCCCAGTGAAGGCAAGCACATAAAGTGTCTGATAAGGTGTGTCTGAGTATAAGTTCAGTGCAGGTTTTTCTATGATTAGACAACATTATTTCAAAGCATAATGATCAAGAATCACAGCTAACAGACCTTTTTGGTATCATCATCAGGTCTGGAGTCTGTGATATAATTGTGCTATATATAACCATCCAGCAGGTAACTATGACAGTATAATTGATTCATCAGGAAGGGCCAAAACTTCTCATGACCACATGATGTGTGAGCCAAAAACTGCTGTATTTCTATTATTATTATGGCTATAGTATTTAAATGGGTAACCAACCCAAGTCATAAGTAGTGGTATGAGTTGAGACAGATATATCTTTCTGCTTGTACTTATGTTGTAGCCACTTGTGTATTCTTGTTTTACCCTATGCTACATTTATCTTGTCCCTCTGATGATGATCACATGACTCTTTGTACAGTATAGGACTGGTCCTTTATCCACCCCTACTCCTTTACCCACCTCAGGCAAAAATTATTATTTCTTCATTTTTTCATATTAACATATAGGAAGATATTTTACATAAGGCCTCTATGGACATTTATATAGTATACAATGAAGAATTGACATCCACAATGTTGTGCATAATACAAATCAGTTGTCCTAAGTTAACTTTGTTAAGAGCCATAGTGCATCAATGATTTTTTTTGAGAAACAGTGGCTGGTAGAATATGAAGTATATACTTTGAACATCGTTTTTACCTACAGCAGATTTGTGAATACCACCTCTGTTTCTTCTATAGAGTACATAGATTGCTTTTCTGAGGTCTTATCTTGGCAAGTTTGTCACACATAATTCACACACTATTCCCATGAGTGTTGCATCATCAATGTTATCATTACCTTTTGAATTACAAATTTATGGTGTTGTATGATGTGACATCTAAATTGAGGTGGGTAAAGGACTGGTAAAGTCAAAGACAACACTGTTTCCAATGATCTTGCTACAAAATACTAATATCATCATCAATAACTCTCAAAAATTTATCGTAGCATTTACATGTACATTGGAATATTACTGTCTATTACATTTTTTGAACAAATGAGTTATTATAAAGTGGGATGCATTTCAAAATGTGGTGGGCACAGAACTGGTCCTATACTATATAGCCAAGGGCTTGGTTTTCCGGACATGTTCAACCACTAAATAGCACAAAGACACACTTTTCTGTATTCCTTTGATGACAACATTACACTTATGACCTCAAATGTTTTTGGCAAACAAAGTGTCTTTCAAGTCTATCAATCAATTTTTTCACATTATTCTACTATCTTTGCAGATATGTTGGTGTTGCCACCTGTTTTGGAGGCCAAGACATATAACAATGTTCCACTAGTGTGTTTCCCTGACAATGCTAAAGAGACCAAATTTTTATTGAAAGCTATATATCTTTCACAGTGAGAATATTGCTTTGATTGTAGGTTTATTGTTTATCAGGCTTCTCCCACTAGATTTTCCCATTATACCCATGCCTAACCCAATATACATCTCATACAATTTACCACCTCTTGAATCTCTCAAATAAATATGAGATAAATGAACTTTGTTGTGAGGTTATTCAACAATTGAAAGCAGATTGGCAAACTTTTCTAGCTTAGTGGGATGAACTAGAAGGTGAAATTGCTAGATTGACTGACCCAGACAGTGATTCTATGTGTTATGTACTCTCTAATGATCTGCTTCCAGACCCTGCATCTATCATTCAATTAGCCCACAAGTATCAGGTCCCGACAATAGGATATGTAGGCTTTTCCTCAACCAAGGTGCTAGTCTTATACATATTTGTATCAGAACAAGAACTCATTGTAATTTATAAGAGCTCCTTCAGAACTTTCCCACACTCCTCTGGAAGTTACTTGCACTCACCCAGAAAATCCTTCCAAAGTTTCCACACTCCTCTGGAAGTCCTTTGGACTTCCTCGGACTTTCTCTAGACATCATTCTGACATTAAAGACACATACTTGGATAAGAGACACAGTGCATAAGCTGAAGTCCAGCCTCTCAGAATCAGTCCTACCCTTTGTGCATAATTTTAACAAATCTCCAATTCAGTAATGAAATTGATGCTGGTATTCATAGCACAATACTATAGTGACTTTGTCACCATCAGGCAAAGGCCAAGTATGGACCTTTTGTATAAGACTTATCATTTATTATACTTATACCAGTAATATAGTACTGCTCAACTACACTTGATGAAAGATACAGTATCATGATCATCATATGATAGAGAGTTTCAAGTGCATGCTTCAGATCCTAATTGATGGTAGAATCTGTGATCTCTGCATCTATATACACAGCCCTCTGTTATAATATAAGGCCACAGATAATTCCAGCATGAATATAATCCTGGATGTATTCCATCTGTTAATATGACATTGGCTAAAATGAAAGTATTCAGGATCTAAAATAATAGTGTCCTTTGGGAAGGTAACACCAAACATAAAATTCTCTTGGTAAGATTTTTAAAATGTCAATTTCATGCATGCAAGCTGAAGAAAGTACAATCAAAATAACTTGAGAAGCATAATTGTATGTTATTGTGGAAGTTTGGGATCTTCACTGAACATACAAAAATACCCTTTGACAAATGTGAGACTATGGACTTCAGGGGTATAACACATGTCAGTGATAGGAGAAATTTGACTAATGGCTCTTATATCACAGATTGCATAAGATACAGGAGGCTAGCACTCTATGAATTATGAGTTGTGGTCTAAGAGAAGTCAGCTGAAGATTTTACAAGATAATGAATGTGCTGATACCTCTAGCATGCCAGTATATGTCACCTACAGATCAAACATTTTTGTAAGTCTTGTAGACCAAAATATCTGAAACTTCACAGGAACAACCTGGATGACAAGAATGTTTACAAAGAATGCATAAACAAGAATACATACATGTGATGCAAGTCATGTATATCATCTCATTGCAGTAAAGAATAGTGATGATGCAACCTTGAGCATCTTTGTAAAAGTTAAAACTCTTATATATTGCAGGGATCACGAGTGCTGTAATCTCTCAGGTCAATAGCCTAGTATTTAGTAGTATCAAGTTGTATTACCCAGGTCATAAATAATCAAAAAATCATATTGTATGGTACCACCCCTTCTACTTTCAAAATATAGCCTGGCTGGTTAACTACTATAATAAGTGCTCATTAACTTTAACAGCTTTAGGAACTATAAAGCTTCATAAAGATCTCTATGGTAATTTTGACAAGAGCTATAACTTGGAGTTTCATTGGAAAAGTTCCCATAGTTAAGGTGCTTTCTTGAACCATCCACTTTCAAGTATTTTCTTTATAACTTACTAGGATTGTAACCTATTGATGTCATAAGACCATAGATAGACTGTCCTTGATAATGGCTACAACTTTTATTATTATCAGAAAAGTACCGATAGTCAAGGTGCTTTCTTGAACCATCCATTTTGCAGTATTTTGCTCATAACTTATTAGGATCACACCTTGACATTACTTCACCTAACTACCTTGCCATACTGGGTGGAAATAAAACCAAAATAGTATGGCAATCTCTTGTTCCCACTATATCCCAATATCTTCCTAATAAATATCTTTACTCCTTATTGCAATGCTTACTTGAATGCTTAGGAACACTGCTGACAGCATCGGTAGGTAGTATATGGCTTCTTGGGGCTTACTGAGTGCTGCCTGCCTCTCCTATGATGCTGTAGCTTATGTCAAACAGTCTTCTCATTGTTCCTCACAATGATGACACTATCTCCTCCATATGTTAACCTTTTCATTTGGTTCTTTTCTATTTCTACACTTATTTTCTAGTCTCTACCCTCTGGCGATACTACAATATAATGTATGCCAGTCCTTTGCTGTCCTGCTGCTGTCTATGTACACAACACCAAGTTGGAGTTTTGACCACCTCTACTCACTGCCAACAACCCTCGCAGTCATTCCATTGTCAACTCAAGGCAAGGGCATATCTCAACAGGTTCTGACAAAGACAGTCATTATTTGAAAACTACTGTGTAAGTCATTAACTCTACCTGTTGCCAACCACTCTTACTTGCACTCAAATATCTACTTGATCCAAAGGCATACCTCAACAGGTTTTAACAATCACATTTGTCATATTAAACCTACCCTCTTGTCACTAACCACCCACACTGTCACTCAAATATCTACTTGAGGCAAGGGTGCACCGCAACAGGTCCTGACAAATTTGTTTGCCATATTTAACCTGCTATGTAAGTTGCTAATTCTACCTGTCATCAATCACCCTTACTTTTACTCAAATGTCTACTTGAGACAAAAGTGTACCTCAATAGGTTCTGATAACATATCAAACCTACTCTCTTGTTGCCAACTACCCTCACTGTCACTCAAATATCTACTCAAGGCAAGGGCACACCACAACAAGTTCTGACAAATTTGTTTGTCATTTCAAAACTGCTATGCTCTAGACTACTAAATGGATTATGAGGTACTCATGAGTAGATAATAGACATGATCTATGCAATGACATTGTGATTTTCACTCTGTTACTAAGCAGTGCACCTGGGTTTTCTCTTTTTGCCCTTGTCAGACCTCTCCTTCCTCTGCTTTTGTGTACAGCCACTTTGGTACCACCAGCACCACTGTAGAGACTGATATCTCTGTGGCCTTATAGAGATTTAATTCTCCATTATTCCAATTACTTCCTAATATAGCATGACTCATATCTGATCCTAGCACACTTAGGCACCTCATCGGCCGCTCGCACACACGAGTGCTCCAGTAGTGTATTGGTACATATATCCTCAGTTCCATCACTTGTCCTTTGTCCATCCATTAAATATTCATTTGTTTTTTTAGCATGTGTTCCTATCATATTTCCATTTAGCACCTAGGATGTCAGGATCTGCTCCTTCATATTTTCTGCTTATACTTTTTGGTTAGTGCCAACATTTCCTTGGTCTTAGAATATGAGATGAAACAAATATTTTCTCCAGGCCCATACATTGTCTTTGCTGGTGCTGTTTGGACTTTACACCCTGCTGTACAGATCCTTTCCAGCCCTCTTGTATTCAACTATTATTCTACTAATACTGATAATCAGATCTTCAGTGGACATCACATGGCTGCATTCTGCAAAGCTGTGAAATTCCTCCAGAGGTATTATGAAATATTCCCTCCTCAATCTGAACTTGCTAACATCCTACATCACTCTACAGTTTTTCCTCATTCCACAAGCTTCATATTACAGTAACATGTATAAAAACACTCCTAACACCTTTAATAGCACTGGCTGAGACATGAGTAATGTGCGAAATAATCTACTACACACCTAGTGGGGCTAGTGAGATAGGACAGGACATGGAGAGGATATGTGTGGGAAAATATTGCATCCAAGTTGGCCTAAATATCGGGTCCACAAGTCAAAGCGGTGGGTCACATCAGGAAGTGATTTGTGTATAATAGGCATTTGATGTACATTGGTATTTCACTGAATATGAGCTCAACATGAGGTCGAGCGCTACAGTATGAATGCAGTCAAGTTAATCTTGCCACACTGAATGTCTTGAAGTGTCCTGCGAAATGTTAGACTAATGTAAGGTGAACTGTAAAAACCTCACTTGTTGGTGTCCTTTGAAAATCCCCTAAGTTTCCTGATCAGACAGAGAAAATGCATTAAAAAAGGGTAGTTGATACCTAAATGGGTCTGCAAACTACTTCCATTATATATAGCCAGGCATATTGGGTGGTTCTTAGTGTTGAAGGCTATATAATGGCTAATTTGGTTCTTGAGATATGTATGTGCATGCAGTCACTTTGTTGATAATAGTATTGAGCTTGGAGGCTTTACAAGGGTCACTCCATACTAATATTTGAGATTAACTTACATCTTTGAGAGTCACTTCTCACAACAAACCTGAGCATCTTCATCTTCCGATAGCTCACTATTTTCCACAGCATTGTGCTGCTGCAGAGCCAAACCTACATTAATTCTTGAGAATCAATGTTAGACTATTTTTTCTATGTCTAGTGGTATGAATGACCAGAACATTTCAAATGAATTAATTGAGTTACTTTTCCCTTATCTCATCATCATGATCTGATTAATAGTGTCTTTCTTGGGCCTCATGTCTTTGTTTAAAACTGTGACCTTCTTCAGAGATAAAGATTCTGCTAACAATGCTGAGGAGGCCGAGATATATAAGGATACAGATGAATCAGATGAGTCAGTTGACTCAGAACATTTATGACATACCATGATGCTGGGGGAAAGACAAATAAGCATTGACAAAAGAATCACTATAGCCAGTTACTACCTTATACAGTTTACAAACACTATATTAACATAATGTACTATAAGAGATATGCATGAGATTGCAGTAGTATGCAAGACTAACAAATATATGTCAAATGTAAAGCTAAGCTTGTACAAAAAGTGTGCCAAGCTTATAGAGTAACCAACAGAAGTGTGGAGGTATGCATGAGATGTAGTATGTATGCAAATTGGCAGCAGATATGTGCTAAATATAAGCTCATACATAAAATGTGTAAAGTTTGTACAGTGATCAACAGAAGTGCAGAGGTATGTATGAGATGTTAGATGTATATACAAGTAGTAGATATATATTAAATATATATCTTATTATGTGAAGAAGCATCAATGACAATTTATGGAGATAAATATAAAATTGAACTGGTCATATCTCAGTCTGACACCTCTTGTCATGCATCTCTTTCAAATCCACAATTGTGCACGAACAATGTACTGGCCCCATAAATATATGACAAAAGTAGTATACTCATAGTTATCCTCACTTTTACCAATAGTGCTGACACTCCTCACAGAGACATGTGTGGTAGGTGCTTGAGTAGGGTGGGGGCGGGTTGGGGTTAACATTGATAATGAGAGAACTAGGAGTAAGGTTGCTATCCGGAGTGAGGCCAATATTCAAAGTTAGATTAATATCTAACGTGGGGCTCATACTCTCTGTATCTATATAAGTATTATATTGGAGAAGTAGATGGATAAGAAGATATGCTAGATGGTCACAGAGACTCATAGCAGTTGTCATTGCTGCTAAGCGTTGCATTGGAGCTGACAAAGAATGTGTCTCATGACCTGCTTGATTCTTTATGTCAGACTGGACAGTCCGGCACAGCTTGTACACTGAAGTTGACATGATCAATGCTTAGCAGATGCCTATGTCAATAGTGAAGCTGCATTGTATCATGAATTGTGTGGAAATAATGTGATTATGTCATCTCATCATATTTCCTGTGAAATTCTGTATATATTAAATTATATGTTGAGTGTGTTTTTCTATCTCACATATGATACCTCATACAGCTCAAATAAGTGCTTATCAAAATAGTGTCAGCGCAAATACTGATTCCTCAAATCAAGTAAGTACACAATACCACTACTTCATTTTACAATTGCCTGGAAATACATAGAGTACATGTTGAATGATCTATTTTAGCAGCTTCTGCCTGTTCGGCAATTAGTTTTAACAGCCAGGAATAGATCCCTGCTCACTGTAGAAGTTCTTGCAAGATAAGAAGTACTGGAAGCTAGGCAGTGTGTCCTAGAGGAGGAATCTAAGGAACTGATAGAAATGAGCTATATCATGAGACTGGATGTTATTATAAGAAATTGTTCCCCTTAGCGCTGATTGGCTGAATCAGCACATTGAAATCTTAGCACCATTTACCTTTGGGTTACATCAGGAAGTGATTATTGTGTGACAGGCATTTGATGTAAATCAGAAAATAACTAAATATGAGCCTAGCATAAGCTCAAGTGCTACAGCATCTGAGGAAGAGAAGGAAGACCTATTATGCAATTTAAAGTGATATGATACTAGTCAGGCTCATCAGCCACCTGCTGTCCAACCCTACCTGCTAATACGAAGTGAATGAGGTCAACCTCTGAAGAAAGATCCTTAATCTGTGTAAATGAATATTGGCAATAGGGAGTATTCAATGTGACTTTAGAAAGGAAGGAGAATGAATATGGTCTAGGGAGCTAATTGTAATAAGAACTCATGTGAGTGCAATTTATATTATGTTAAAATTATGGTCTCTTGCATCAGCACCAGGACAATATGTCCTAATTATCCCATGTGTGCTATAGAGTGAGTCAGTGATTGTGTGCATTTATATTCACTGGCAAATGCTTATCAGTGGACTTTGTGATATACAATCCATTTCATTTGATGAACACTTTGATGTCACAAATTTAATGGCTGCATTTACACGTAATAGATTGATGGCCTTCCAGAATCGCCATTTTGAAGCAGATCTAATCTGCAGTCATTGCCTAAGCACAACCTGTCAAAGGATTACAGGTAGGTAACTAAGCTGGGATTACATTTGGTGTGTCATATAATGATGGGTGAAGGAGCATAAGAATAGTGTTCATGAAGAGAGTGAATAAATTTATAATGTATTGATATGGTAGCACAATAATTTCTGTAGTCTTGTAAATAAGGGATGAGTCACATAGTATTTCAGAATGTCATCAGATTTATTATCCTCACTATTATCCTGGGTAGGAAAATATATGATACTAGATAATTGGAAAGACTCTGAGTTTAAGGTGAGCTTGATTAGGTTGGAGGTATACTGTCCTGCACTTGTTGAGAATGTTGAGGGCTCTGTAAATCAGCATCCAAGTGTCACTAATAATTTTCAGTGAATGCCATCAATACATCTTGGAAAATAAAAAATTGAAAATGGTGGGCATACAGTCAGCAAATTGGGCCCTTGTTTTAGTGAAAAAAACTTTGAAAGGATTTATGGGGTGTGCCATGTACAGGAGCCATGAATGTTTTAGAAAGGATTTCCATAGGAATTTTATGAATATAATACAGTTGGAGAATACCACTCACAGTCAGTTATATTGAAGTGGCAAGCCTGGCTGTATCTAAGTTAGCCCTTTGTATTAAGGTCATACTTCCATAGGATTGGATCTGAAGGACTTTAGCCTCAGCTCGTATGCTGTGCCCCTTATTTCAGAGACTAATAATAACACATCCAGAGGGTTGCACAGGTCTTATAGTATTATTTGAAAACTTCCAGATATTGGAAACACTTATAAGACTAATCTGGACAAGTCCAAACTAGAAACAAACAGAGTATATATAGACTATCAGAATCAATCCAAAGTCTCAGAGATTGACAAGAGCTGAATAAACTCCAGTCTGGAGGACAGAAAGAGAACAAACTCAGATAATATCCAAACTGAGATACTATGGGACATATACAAGAGTTTATATACTAAGAGGATAATAGAAGGATCAATATGCAAAGGTCTGAGGCTATGTAAAAAGCATATGCAAAGCCTATCAAATGTGAGTCGGAAATGCAGCATGGGTTAATTGATCAGTAAGCATACCAGTAATAAGTATAACCAAGATACCGGGAAGAGGAAATACAAAATAGGCTGTGTTTAATGTTATATGAACAGGAAATAAATGAAGAAGCTTATCATATATCAAATTGGAAGTAGATCTATGCATCAGACCAGACTGGATCTGAGAGTCTGAAGTCCAGAAGATAAGTGTGGATATATGGGATATGACACTTTGGTTCCACATGCAAATAACTGTATGACTAAGAGTACTTTGAGAAAAACAGCTACAAATGCATAGATGAGTCAATAAATTTAAGTAAGATCTAGGTAGAAATGTTGGAATTCAGAGGTCGAGCAAGCTCACACAAAGTCCCATTTAACAGAACAAAGTGTGCATTTCGTTCTATTGTGTCTCACCTGTTTTCTTTCGTGTCTTTTAGCTGCTCTTATGTTATTAATTCTTTTGTATCACTGAATCCTTTGTATGCCATGACCAGCACCATTTTCCCTTTATTATAGTCTCACATATTCACAAGAGCATTCAAGCTATTTAGTTACCGTCGATTTGAGCCTTTACCTCAGATGTTTGCCTTCGCGTGCACAATCTGAGGTAAGATACCTATTTATCCTACTTACATTTACTTATGCTTACATCCCTTAGAGAGTCTATTTGTTATAGGTGAATACACAGATGTTTGCCTTCACATGCACAATCTGAGAGAGTCTATTTGGTATAGACCCACATGAGTATATTAATCTTACAAGAAACATGTGCAATAGCATCCCAGGAGCTCGCCTATGATGTTAAAATGTTATACCGTGCCGATTAGCAGCTCCTGGTAAGTCTGATTGGTGAGGAGCCACCAACCTAGCCCCTGGTAGACTCAAGTAATATAGGT